AGGTACCAGACGATACACATGTGTTCATCTTCGTGTGTTGGTTACCGGAGGAGGCAGTGCGAGGCTTGACATATTTGTTATTTGGTCTGATCATTTGATTAAGTAGGCCGATCAGTCTTACCCATGTAGTTGAGTTGATTCTATTTTTACGTCTCGTAGGCCAATGCAATGGAAAACTTTTTCGAACGAGAAGTTAAGCGACTGGCATTCGTGGAAGAGAGGATGAAGATCCGAGAACAGGAGAAAAAACAGCTGGACGCTGAAGAAAGCAAGCGGCAACAGGTTAGTTATAACCAGCCGGAAAAAGTAAAAAAAATACAAAAGAAGTAATGATATCATGAACAAAAAGTAATGATGAAACAAAAATGAATGAGCATTGAGAGGGTGGAGAGGTTAAACATGCCAGATCTCATTAGTAATTCTCCTTACTGTCTGCCATAGAATTCATAATGTTCGTTTCGAGAATTTGGTACCAGATCAACTGATACGTGGTATTAATTCTTTATTCTCATTACTTTCTGCTGGATATTGTTTGGATATTGTAAGGAGAAATTGTCATGGTCATTCATGGTCATTCATTCATTCGTTCCTAAAAAAGGGACGAATTGCAGACATACAGGTACGGCTGTCAAGGCCGTGGCATACGCAGGTCTCTGTTATATTTAATAGCTTCTTCGGAATCCAAGTAACCTTTTAATAAACCAGTAACGTTTGGTTACTACATGTAGGCACGCGCTGCGGACCTGTTTGTTCGTGAACACACACTCTCTCATTCCCTCTTACATTTCTGACGTCATAGTAAGTAGAGCATTGTGCACAACTGCAAAAAGGTTTAGACTTTTCCTTTATTGAACCCACAGGAGGGCAAACGAGCTGAGGAAAGTGACGCTGATATCGAGGCTAAACAGAGAATGGTGAGTCATGTGACAACAAAGCAGTTTCGATTTGTTCTCAAGAGTGTTTAGAATCGCACGCTCTAGATTTCTTAAGTCTTTTTTTGGATTTAAACCGCTTTGTGCGCAATTAATTTTCTTATTTTCCCGAACGTTGCACAGGAATACCAGGAATATTTACAAATGGAGAAGCAGTTACTAGAAGAGCTCGGCATCAGAGAAGAATCAGATGATCCTATTGAGGTTTAGTGCAGGTTGTAATTGTGTTGAATACACGTTCGTCTGTTAACAGGTCCTGTAGTTATACTTGGTTGTAAATAGTGTATTTTATACTGTTGTACATTTTCTGGTACTTATTTCTTCCGTACGATTTCTGGTCTTGTCTCATGAGGGTCGATCGTGAGCAAATCCTCTCAATGAGAACATGCGAAGGCTCCCGAAGGCTCCATTCTTCTTACAAAAGGGTTTTCTGAGCGTTCGCGAAAACACTGAACATTACGTCGTGTTGCGTAGCAACATCTGATAAACGCAAAGACTGCTGACTCAGTTTATACCAGATATCTAGCAAGTATCAGGGGTTTTATTTTTCAGTGCAGGTTAATATAAGCCGCCAACTGAACTTTAACTCAGAGCGTTTATTTCATTGGTAGTCACATCTTGAACAAAAGAATACCGCGAACGTCTAAGTCATTGTTTACACTTGAAATGATTAATTATTTTTAAACTATTGTCGACGTTTGAAGTAATAAAGAAATTCATACCAGCAATCAGGGTGCTTTATATCTCTGCGATATTACATGAGGACAATGTTGTTTTGGCAAACCAAGACCAACATTATCTTCTTTTAATTTTGAACTTTTCTAGTTTCCTGTATGTAAATTGTCGGCGAAATTGGTTCTCACAAATAAGCAATTACTCCCTTACGGTTTAAAAGGATTTAAGATTTATTCCGATTTCCGCTTGTCTAGAGATACATTGTGTCTCAAGCACTCGTTCTCTAAAACTCTCACCGGCGTCAAAGAGGATTTTGACAAATGACAATTTAGAAAGTGGCTTTACACCGTGTTAATTGCGTTGAATTTTCTCGAACATTTTTAACTTCTCTTGTTATCGTTCAGTTGAAAATCCCTTTGCAGAAGGAATTGATAAAGTATTGTGAATGGACAGTCTGTGACGGATGGTGTCATCTCAATTTCCTTGAACCTCTTAATTAAGTTTCATTTATTAAACTACATAACGAAAAAGCTTTAAGAAGCGAGGTAAACTCAACCTTTAGGTATCAAAAATGAGAATTTGCACTCGCGGCAGAAGTCTCTCTGATGTTCATCTTATTCTTGTAATCAAGATCTTTATAGTATATTCTTGGTAAATATTACCCCGGAAGTTTTTAAGTTTTATAGAGCTAGATGTGCGATTTTGTGTTCCAAGATGTGTAATATCAATTCCAAAAAAAAAAACTAATTATGTCTATTTTCCCTCTTGTTTAATAACAGCTAAAAATCTGAATAAACATTCTTAGCCAGGTGAGGCTCATCTTAATTGTGAGTGTCACAAAAAATGATCATATTTTCCCCATGAAACCTTATTACAAAAATGAAATAGACAGTTGCGGAAAAGTTGTCATCTGATTTCTCAATTGGAAAGTAGTTCGTTGGATAAAAGACCGTGCCGATGAGTTTGTATTAAGCGACGCATCAACGGAAGACAGGATTTTTTTTTTTTTTTTTGCGTTTCAAATGAAACTACACTTTTTTGTTAAAGATGGAAAAGGAGAATTGGAAATTTTGGCATTGATAAGATAGGTGAGATCCACAAAAGCTCAAGACAAGAAGTGTTTTCCTACAAACATTTGAAAAACAGAAGTCCTAACTTATCTCAGTCTTTTTTTAATCAAGTTTATCACTGAAAAACATTAATTTTAATAAAAACAACTTTACAAATGAATATGAAAGAAAATATATTGAAATTTGCACTATTTAAGAAAGGTAATTTGTCGTTGAAGGATTTCTTTTGAAGCAGTGTAATATTTCATATCAAAAAGACAACTTCAATCCGATTCCCTGCCTTATACCATAACAATTGCTATTTAACTTCTCGAAAAAAACTTTTTCAAATAATGATTTTATTTTCCTTTTTTTTATTTCAATTAATTATGCATGTTGTTCAGTTAAATAAAAACTAGAGGTAAATATCACTTTCCGTACCATGGTTATATTAGCCCTTTCAATGGATAGTAGGAAATTCATAAACTTTCTTTCTTTTCAAGCGATCCATTGAGGGCATCATGTAATAACGCAATTATAAACGAGTACTAGTAAAAAATCTAGCTTATGATTCAAGAAACACAAGTGAACTGTCAATGAAGACGTCATTAACTTTGTTGTGGGTCTTTTTTGTGGAGATGCATTCATGTTGATTTAATGAAAAATAAACATTGTCGCACACACACAGCCCACAGAAGCGACAGGTGCGTTTGATATCCGAATACGCTCCTATAAATCATTCTGACTTAAACGATTCAGCATTACATTGCGTAGTTAGATAATTCACGCATATTTATTCAAGTTTTCAAGTGAACAGTCAAAATTGGAACATTTGATGGTTTGATGCGTAAAAAGTTGTTGATTCCAAGTTAAAGACCCACTCAATTTCGCTTCCGCGCACAGTTTCACATTATTTATTTTTCTGCTGTTTGATTATTGGTCAATGCACAGCGTCGCCGGAGAACGACATCACTCTACTGATTGAGGTGGTCTGTTCCTTTGCTACACTTGTCGGAGTGAAATGCCATCGTTAAGTTCTTCAACAACCACTGAAGATATGGACGTTATTAACTGCAGTTTTCAGGTCTTGATACGGTTCCCACACACCATGTCTGCACGCCTCACAGCCATCGTTACTTGTATTATAAGCTCACTGGGCTTGATGGCTGCTGTGTCATGCAATACGTTATTTATCGTAGCCTTTGCGCGGACGCGAGAACTTCGTACTTACGCGAATCTATTCCTTGTCAGCCTATCATGTACTGACTTACTTGTAGGCTCCATTGTCGAACCACTGTATATAACGCGGCAAACTCTGGCACTATCAGGAATAGATGACTGTGGTGTTTGGATCGCTTACTTGACAATGGCACTGTTCTGTACGGGTGCATCTTTTCTGAACCTCACTTTAATAAGCTGTGAGAGATATGTCGCAATATTTTCCCCACTAAACTACATGCGACTGGTGACAAAATCTCGCGTTTTGAGCATAATTGGTGGAGTGTGGCTAGCGTGGGTAACACTGACCTGTGTGCGTTTTGCTGGAATACCAAACCGTATTGTATACCTGATTTGTTTCGCTGTCATTGGCTCATGCTATGCTATTACGGCTTTTGTCTACTTCTTTATTTTCCGAGAGGCCAGAAGACATCATCGAAGGATCGTTAGCGAACAACAAAACTATGATCCTCTCGCTCCGAGTGTAGCGCGCGAAACTAAACTTGCCAAAACGATGGCGTATATATTTGGTGCGTTGTTGGTTTGTTACCTACCCGGGATGACAATTTTACTTATCCGCACAATTAAAGGCGACTCGCCTCAATTATTGTACAATTACTACCCATGGGCAGAAAACTTGATTTTTTTGAACAGTGCTCTGAACCCAATGATTTACTGCTGGCGCAATCGTGAAATACGCCGGGCAGTTTTTCGGGTTATCAATCCAGTGTTAAGTCAGATGTTCAATCGCCATATCGCCTCCTCGATAAAGGTGGGGTATGTTAACGAAGCTGGATCTAGGACTCCGAAAACTGAATACGGAACCTGTGTTTCTGGCAGAAGAGTTCAAACATCTCCCATAACAAGAGACGTCGAGATACAATCAGTTTGCTCAAGGGAGTAACAAGTGGAACAATTCTCAATAACCAGCCTGTGGCAATAACTTTTTTTTTTCCTGCTAAGGGAAGATTCTTATCACATCAAGTGCTAATGACTCGAATTCATTGACATCTCTTCGTAACTTCAAGACTCAGTGAAGGTGCTTTATCACAAAAGAGACAACTTATCTTTTAATATTTCTACACTTGTGTAAGTTTTCAATATTTTTACTATCTCTTTGATCCTTCTAAGGTGAAAACGCGGCTTTTATTGACACTCTTTTATGCAAAACAGAATCGTTTTTTTTATTGGACGAAATGACCAACGGAAAGATATACTTCAGTGGATAAAGAATCGTAAAAGTTTCTTTTTAATATCCTTACGGTAACGCATTATTTCACTTTTGCCTCAAGCAATGTAGATTATATGTTGTAAAAAAATAACCGAATTATGTACATCTTGTCGTTAATTTTTTTCTTAATCTCTATGCGGCGATGGTTGCAGGCAGCCCAGCCCATCTAAACTATTAACCGTTGAATTCAATATGTATGTTAATAGGGTGATCCACTGTGTGTACATATAGAACTGACGAGGACACAATGTTTACTCAGACTAAGCTAAAAAATAATATTAGTTTGTTCGAAACACATAAAGGTTCTGCTTTGTGGTAATTAGCAAATGTTTTGAAACGTCAGGCTCGCGAATTGCAGCACGTACCCAGAATCCCTTCATTTTCCCTCTGGACTTCTCGCGAAGAGTTACTTTTTTATACAGAAAAACTGACGCTCGATCTGCGGAGATCTGTTGATAGCGTTTCTCTATGGCATTCAAAAGTTTAATCGCATTCATTAAGACTTATACATTTCCCTTACATCAGTCATACGCACAATTCATCTATTCCAATTGTGCATCACATTCACACTATATCGACAATATAAGGAAAGTAATGGATTTTATTTTAGATTTACGATGAAAATAATTTAAGTGACCAGTCTTTTCCGCTCAGAGCTGAAAGATTTAATCTTATTGCCCATACTCGTGAAGCTATCGATACAGAGAAAAAAAATCCTTATTATCTCGTTTCGGCTTTATTTTAATCGGGATTTGTATATGGGTTTATATTAAAAAGACGCATGCTCGTTATTGAGTATTACGTAAATTTAATTGCGCCCATGGAAAGTGTTTTGATAGAAATCATTTGAGTTACTAAGCGCGAAATTTTTATTATTTATCTGAGTAGTCTTGTAACCAATTTGACTGACATTTTGATGCTGCAAGGGAGTGTTTTTAATTCAGTTCTGACCATAAATTTGCTCATAGTGAAATTTAATTAAGTATCGACGTAGCAATTTCAATTTCTTTCTTGGGAGATTTATCATTTTCCGAATGTAAAACAAAGACCGGTCAAAAATGGTAAGTTTGTCTAGAAGCATGTTTTATCAGCTGAAAGTTAACACAATTATATGAATATTTTTTAGACCTTTTTCGATGGCGACGGCGCGTGTTCCTTCCAAACAAAGCTTAAAACTAAAGTATTTAGGGTGTTAAGGCTGGTTGGCGCAATTCCATATTGGTTGATAATTCATTTTACCAGACAAACACCTCAAGATACAGTGTAACTGAAGTCCTACACGAGAATTCTCAAATTAAGATTTGATTTTGCTAGTGGTACAATCTTTAGTTTCCCAGCCACACAACCTTTGTCACAGGGGGGAGGGTTGGCTAGGGAAGTGAGGATGAGTGCATTTGTTATTTCGTTCATGGCTCTTATTGAGGTCACTATCTAGACGATGTTTTAAGTATGAAGGAGGGTCTTTGAAAAGACTAGTATCAAGAAATTATTTCTACAAATATGCTTTTGGTGATATCACTTGCGAAAAGTCGACCTCGAGCATCAAAGGTTTTACCAAAAATTACTTCAAGGGTTACCACTCCTCCACAAGGTTCATTTAGTGCCGCATACCATGGTATATGTACCTCCCTTCCTACAAAATTTATTAGATGTAGTGATGAGAACTGTTCATAATTAACAATGATAATAATCATCGGAGCGAGACTCCCGTTATGCGTTGTGACCTCATGTTGTCCGAGAGAGCGCTAAGTACTAGACAGTTTCTAACATGGCGGTCTAGAAAGGTGGTATCGATAAATAATGCATTCAGATGAAAACAAACCTGCAAATCAAAGCTCTAACATACTGAGCTCAAAAAGAAAGCGGGATTTCGAGGAAAGCAGATCAAAGGTGTCCCGCTCCGAAGGTTTTTCCTGGTGGACATCATTAATGTTGGGAGTTGAACCGAAGAACTTTCCAAACACTCGTAGTTCGGTCGTGTCCACGAAACAAAAAGCTGACGAACAAGACCATTAGGGAAACTTTTCCACCAAAAAGTAAATACAGAAATCTCTCCACGCTAGTCTTTTGTAAAATAAGAGTTCACGAGCGTCTAACTGTGGGAAGGCGAAGAGAAATGTCATGTTCTGTTATCGTTATTGGTCGATCATCAGCTGATTGTGGGCTGCACTGAAGTGCTTCATACAGCTTAACATCTTCTGGCAAAAGAAATTGTCTTTTCACCTGTGTAGATAACCAACCATTGGTATTTGGTGAATCGTTTTATGCACAGTTCCTTGTCTGGTTCCGTTCATTAAGTATAACTAACTACGGTGCACTTCTGTCTTTTCATATGACGTTCTCTGTAGTGCACCTTACTAGTTGATCGCATGAAATGAGACAACAAAAACTCTTTGAAAACACAATCGTCACTTTGCGATGATTTATTGTATCGTTGGAAAGGATGTTTATGAAAACACCTATTCCGTAGGGAGATGCTTCGCATTGAAATGATAGGATAAGACAACATCTCGTCATACATTTGAAAATTTATAGTTGTCTAAGGCATTTGAAATTACTATGTCTGGAATTGGAGAGAATTCAGGTGAGCATCTTGCGGAAGATAGCAGTCTTGATTTTCCAGAGCCTCCAGAAAAACCACTTGATAGTGACTGCTGTGGAAGTGGTTGTGTACCATGTGTCTTTGATATTTATGACGAGGAAATGGCAAAATGGAGATTAGAATGTGACAGAATAAAAAGTGGAAAAAGTATCCTGGAGGATTTACCTGATGGAAGTTTTGAGCAAGTACTCAGTACTTCAGAGTTTCGATGTTTTGAACTAGAGTCCATCACTCGGATGACAGATGATTCATGTATATACAGATTTAAGATCCCAGGAAATAGGAAGCTAGGGATCAAAGTAGGACAGCACTTAATAATGAGGTGAGATGTAAACATGACAGAGATAATTCCATTGGTATATCTATTAGAGATGTTTTGGCTCAGCTGGGAGATGGTGGGTTTTAACTTAATGTCTACGGTAGCTAATTGAATAACCCTTTCACTCCCAAGATCTCATTTGCAATTCACCTTACTGTCTGCCATACAATTCTTATAATGTTAGTTCTGAGAATTTGGTATTGGAACAACTAAGAATCCTCTAATTGATATTTTCCTGTTATCTCATCACTTTTTCTGCTAGATATTGTAAGAGGGTTAAAAGGGATACTGATTTTTCAACTAATAATTGGTACATATCATTATATTTGATTTGACTGATTGTACAATCAAATTTATATCAAATTCTACCAATGTTAATGGAAGTTCTCTCAGGCACATGATTTAATTTTTTTTGTACTATAACATTTTTTATCAATTGGTAAAAGAGTAAGAGTAAGTTTTCATCCCCAAGACTGAGAACACCGAGACCTTCTAACTGATCCACATGTGCATCACAGTTCCAGTGAAGAGTGTTGTTATGACAAATTTTTTTGACAGTTGCTATTTAAATTGCATTCTAAATCACAGGAATTGTTAATTAAGCTAATGATTGAACAAAAGCCTTTTTCTTTTGTTATGTAAGCAATTGTTTTTGCACTCAAATTTTATATGTTAGTTTGATATACTATTCTGCATGTGTAACTGTTGGAGAGCATGGAATAAATTGTCTGAGTTGTACAACATTGTGAAAATCGATGAAAAGGGAATCCCCTCTCTTGAGAGAGGATTAGTGAGAGTCTAGTTATTGGCAATCTGCTTTTTAAATATTATTTGCATTTGAATTAAATTTTGTTCTAACAGGAATTATGCAATTGTTTTTGTAGGGGCAAATTTGATGGCAGGCATATCACTAGACAGTACACACCTATTAGCCCAGTAGACGGCCGTGGGTTCTTTGATGTACTCATCAAGGTATTTCTCAGAGTATACTGTTCTGATTCCCTCTCTAATTATGCAAAACTATTTAATAGTTTTATCTGAATGATGAATCTCATTAATAAATTTGTATTTTGTGGGAAGCTGTCAAATAAGGCCTTTAATGCAAAGTTAAATAAGACAAAGATTTATTTCTTAGTGGAAAATTAAGATGGTAAAAGTCTAGATTCAAATGTAAATAGCACGTACTCTTTCAAGAAAATAAGCAATTAATTCAAACTGTTAATCCTTACCAATTTTTATTGTACAGGTTTATTTGAATGGAAAAATGTCTCAACATATAAAAACTTGGCAAGTTGGTGACATGATTGAATGGCGTGGACCTTTTGGAAAATTTTCTTACTCACCAAATCAGGTATTTTGAATGTGGCAAACAGCATATGTGTTTCTATAAGGAAGGTACGGGAAAGAATCTAGAGGAACCTTGGATACATGTAGATCTAAAATACTGTTACAGATCTTATATAGTGGCAAAAACAAAAAAGTGTTTCTCCCATTTTACAGTACTGTATGTTTTCAGTATCGTAGGATTGGTATGTTAGCAGCAGGAACAGGGATTGCCCCAATGCTGCAAGTGATTCAAGACATAGTTACAAATGAGGATGACGAAACATTTATCCAATTGGTTTACTCAAGCCGAACATATGATGACATTTTAATGAAAGACACACTGGATGAATTTAAAGCTTACTGGAATTTTTCAGTACTCTATGTTCTAAGCCAGGTTAGTTATTGAAGGTAATACAATGCTATCTAAACCCTTTACACCCTAACATCAGTTTACATATTCTCCATACTGTTCTCTATACATTTCCTAAGGTGCTGAATAGGAGAATTTGTTTAACAATCAAAAGCTTCTGTATTTGGTAATCATGTTCTTTATTCTAGTGACCTTGGTTCACATGTGATATTGTATGGAGAAATTTAATGCAAGTTGTTCTTACTGGTCAAAGGGTGAAGTCTTCCTGTTTGCTCCATTGTTATTGAATGTGCTCTTAGATTAAGCCCAAAAGGTATCATGGTGGCCTTTTAGTTGGTATGCAAGACTCTTAAAGAGCTCTGGGCCAGGTTGTTCAAAGCTGGGCTAAGATAACCCGCGGTTAGTGTGAAATTTGATTTCACATCTGAAAGCTTTAAAAAAAAATTCATTTTAATTCTTTTTGTCTACAATTTGATGATTGGATGCTCTAAAAAGATTAGAAAAAATTATCTGAAAAGGCTCTTGCATAAAAAGATAAAGAAACCTGGATTGAAATTTAACCCTGGATTAGCATTAATTAGCCTTCAAACAACTGGGCCCTGGGTTTTGCTCAGGCTTTGTCATTGTGTGTTGTTCTTGAGCAGTTTACTTTACCCTCACAGTGCTCCTCTCCAACCAGGGGTATAAATGGGTAACTGCAAACTGTTGTGGAAACCTGATGAATTTTTGACAAGTAACCAGCTATGGACTTGCTTTCCATCCAGGATGGGTAACAATACCAGTAGTTGTTATTTTTTTGCAATCCCACTGTTATTTTTATGGGCAAAGAAAGATGAATTGAATGACTGATTGCCCATGGGATTCTAGAATCACAGTATGTAACTGTCTGCTATCAAATTGCAGCAATGTGTTTTTTTTTCTGTTATTCCAAAGTCCCTGTTGTAAAATAGTTGCCTAATTTTTGCAGTGTCCCTTAAGTTTAAGGCTGTGTGAAGCTCTTCTTTTAAATGTGGACATTGCCTTTGTAGGAAAGTAAAGCTGGCCAATCAAAAGTCAAGTACAGAGATCACATGTCATACGGCAGGATCGATCAGGAGCTTGTGTCACGTGAGATGCCTCAGCCGTCACGTGATGTTCACGTGTTAATCTGTGGAACCAAGTCGTTTGACAAGGACATGATAAAATATTTGAAAGCTGCTGGTTACACATCAGACATGTATTATAAGTTCTAATTATGAGAAAATTACCATCTGTCTTATTTTTGTCTATGAGAAAATTGTTCTTCAAGAAAGATCTTTTGTACACTTCGCCAACAAGGCATAACTTTTAGATGCTACTTTGGTACCCTTCCCTGATCAAACGCTGTTATTTTATTCCGATTTTTTGAACCCTCTGATAATTAAAACCAAGTTCCTTTTTCCTCAGAGGTTTAAGGAAGCGGAATTTCACTGTAGCTTTTTGCTTGAGATATAGATTCACACAGTCACAAAAAACTTTGTACATGTGCATTTGTCAATAGTGTTCTTAATAAATTGACAGAGACGATGTGTCTGTTGTATACTTTCCAATTAGAATGATTATTGGACTGGAAGATATCGCGTATATTTTTTTTACAAAGTCTGGCACCAACGAGACAAAAATGTGAAAAAGTATAGATTAAAGAAGTTACATCTACATGTTTTGTTGCACATGTTCACTTACATTTATTCTTAAACTCTTCTTCAATTTTCAGACTATCGATTTTACTTTGGCTGACCCGCAATTAGCCATTGCTAGTCTAAGGTAGGTCAGTAATTAAAACTGAGATAGCTAACAAAAATATCTAAGCTAACTGCCTAAGCTACATTGGATTCAGTGTTCCTGTCAAGAAATAGGTCGAAAAGGAAATTAGTAAAAGCTCGGATATTACATTATAATTTACAATATTTTTCTATTGCTTTAACTGTTTCATTATTATAATGACTGTCTTTCGTTTGCCAAACGTGTCTTAGGGTAGCGTCTTTTTAAGGGAGTGGCTGTTGATCTGGATTAGAACCAAACGAAAGTTGCTTGCATGCTCGTAACGAAGCGTCGGTATTCTACGTGCACGAAACGGAAATCAGTCAGTATGATAAGTTATGACCTGACCAGCCATGAAAAGATTGCCCGAATGATTTGTCGTAAATTATGCACCTGAATCAATACGCAGATAGTTACTGATAAGCATATGTTTGACTTGAAAATTTTCTGGCTGACACAAGACAACCGGTGAAATGAAAAACATTTCTTGTTTTAAATTGCTGCACGCATAAAGCACACCTACAAGGTACATTGTAAATGATGGTGACGTAACGGGGAGAAAGTCACCAGTTTAGAGCGTTTAATAATACATAATCACTTACGGAGAACCAGATTGTGATGCTTGTAAGAGGTGGTAAATATATGTGCTGCAGACTCCAAATCGAAAGCTCAGAAATATTGTAGCTGGCGTGTAAACCTTGTGTTTAAGTTCATGCAAGATCCTTTGTCGGCTTCACAAGGGGCGAATCATTTGTGGGTGTGACATGATATGTGTCCAACAGAAAAAAACTCCTGTGCTTTTGCCATTCAAAATGATCTCTACAAGCTCACTGAATTTACCAACTACTGGATCTATGAGAACGTTACTTTTTATCGTAATCTTCTACAGCTGAATATTCAGTTCGTTTGGACAAACGAGACATTCCTGAGTCTTGTAGTGTGAGTCTTTAAGGGTCAGATTTTGTCAGTATCCTTTCAAAGTTTTTTTCTTACAAGGCTCGCTTTGAGATTAAAGACCGTAAAAGTAGTTTAGAAATTTCTTCTATACCAAGAGTTTGTTTGCCTGTTTGTTCCTTTTTTCGATAACGACCTAAAAGTAAATGGATTAGTCCTAATTGAACGCCCTTCGTTACTCTTCTGATGCTGCCAGAGGGGAAAGGAAACATAACTATTTCAACTAAAGCAGTAGTCTGGTATATCTAAACTCCATCATATCATAACACCTGTAGAACTGTTTCTAACGGTTAGATATTGTAAATCGTGAGAGTGAATACCCTGTTGACGTTCACATTTTTAAAACAATTTTTTTGTGGATTTGATCATAAAAAATGTCATGCCAGCTAACTCAAGGTAATCTTAGCAGTACTGATTCCAAAAATATAAGCAAAATATAAAATTAGACGCTCTCTCTTGACTTTCGGTACATTCTTACAAAGTGTGTTCTTCAAAAATAACCTCCAAAAGAAGATTGTAGCGTCGTTTTTGTAGAAGAGAGTTGAGTTCTCACGTACAATCATAACATTAGCGAAATGTTCCTCCGTGGTTTTTATATTTTTTTCTATGCAGTAACCATTTCGAATTCTATCCAAATCTTACGGAGATTTGCTCTATGAGTAAGCTTGAAGTAAGGTGACGATGCCACCGTTCAGACAGAAAAGAGAAACCGCTAAGAAAATGGTTCCGTTCCTTGGTTCCGTTCCCTGTTCCAAAATTTACGAAGGTTTTCGTACTTTGCCCACAGACTATTGGTTGTTTATCCTCTTGTCTGGAATAGAGATTTACACAGATTATACCCACTGTTTACTTTATTTCGTTCCTGTGTATTGAACTCGCTTCCGTCCTTTGAAAATGTACTCCAAAACAAACAATTGGACAAAAATAATGATTATTTTTATCACGGAACGCATTTGAGAAGGGTTGGAATATTTCTGTTTTCGGTTTCAAGATGAAAGACAATTTATTTTGACAATAGAAATCCAAAGTTGAGACTAGAATATTGTTTGGTTGCGCTGTTGAAGCTAAAAATCCTCAAATTGCAGATAAAGGTTTCATAATAAATCACATCGTAACCCTGTCGCGTACTCAATAAAGTACTGAATTTGTTTAATTTAACTAAAGGTTAACCTCTGCAAGATCACGGCTGAAGTTTTTCAGTTTTATTTACGGACAACAGAACGGCTGAGTAACAACCGTGTTCCGTTATACCTCTAGCGAACTAACTCTTAGGCCTCTGGCAGATGTGATTTAAAGACAACTTATCTTAACGACTTTTACAAGCTTACAAAAAGAATATCGACTCCGCGATTTTATCTTGATCAAGCACCATATTCTCATGATTAAACTTTAGACAAATATGAGGTCATCAATTGGGAGAGTAAGCCTTCATATCTTGAGTGGAACTTGAAGGGATGATAAAGTTCCCACGGATAGGAATCAGTTTATGATTTCACGATTATCGAGCGCCTAAGAAAGAGAAAACATGCAGCTATGCAGAGCATGCTTACGTATTCGAAATAGTTGACATTAGCGCTCAATTTAGTCCGAAGATAATATCAGGAGCAATCGTCCTATCATTCAACGACGTAAATAAATGTCATGGGCCCCCGCTGCACATTGGAAATGACACGTATTTTGCGCATTTTTGAAAAGTTTTTCATCTTTTTGGCAAGTGTCCACACTAGTTTCCTCAAATTTTGTTAGAGGAATTTACTTTACGACGGTGAAAAGCTAAATGATTATGAGGAAGCTGTAACTACAAAAAAAACATTCGTAGAGAGTGATCAGAGGGTGCTGTCGACAAAGTGGGTAATTACCTGCTCAATCATTCAAGAGATGTTATCACAATCAGCGGGTTCACAATGAAACGGACAATTCGAGAAGGCAGCTTAGAACACTCCATTGTCAGTTGAAAGTCAAAAATTACTTTCTTCGTGTCTGTCTCAGGCGCTAACGTTTTCAGCTAAATTACGGATTTTTTTTTTAGGTTTCAAGTAGAGTGATAAAGTAAAATATGGTTAATACTGGGGTAGAAATTATCAATGGGCGTGGAGAACGGAAAAAAAATAAGAGATGAAAACACGACATTAGAGCCTGTGGGCCCATAACTGACAAACGCAATTTGTTAAAGTTGATATCATCATCGCTTTTGTTAAATTGTCATTGCACAAAATACCTGAATATCTCTGTTTTTCTCTCTGCTTCTCTCCACCCAACCATCGACTGTTCTCCAACAGTATTGGCAGACCACGACTGATTCGAAAATTACTGAGACGAAAACATGCAGTACAAGCCATAAATTCGACTTAAAACTTCCATTATGTGCCAGGAAGTGATAAAATCTCTTGTTTGACCTGATCGTCGGCAGCTTCTATTAAAAAGATGTAGTTTTCGGCCTCAATAATAACCCTCTCTTTTATTCGGCACTAGTATCTGCGCGATGAAACCTTTGGACCCATCTTGCGGAGTTAGATGTAAGAGCGCACAGACGCATTTTGATTTAGTGCGAAATGATGCAGAGTCATGTAACTATAAAGGGTGAAATGCATTCAGTGAGAACAAGAATTACTATCATGAGAACAGATATTACTACCTAAAGCCTATCTTGCTTGACTTCCTCTTTGTTTTCCCCCGACCTCTCCAGAAGAATCGTTTATACAAAATATCGAGGGCAATTTTAAATCTTTCAACAGTGTGAAGGAGAAGCAATTACGTCATGCTACGACAAAATCACCTACTTACGGTAAATGCAATAGTACGTTTTAGTTTTTTATTTTTTTGTAGACTAAAGTTTGCAAATTTGATCGGGGAGAACTTGACCCAAACTCTAATTTCATTTATTGAGGAAATTATTCCCGCAGAAAGCTACGAAATTTCGAGAAATTGCTCAATCGACTGTTGTGCTTTACGGAATGCATTAACTGCAAGTGTGAAGTAATTTTCGTTGCTAAATTATCGATTAATTCAAATGACACCACCACAGACTTGAACTGTGGACTATATTCGTTAGAAATATTTCAACACTGTTCACTTGCCCAAGCCAGATGCGTCGGAAATTACTTTAAGAAAACGTGACTCGCGGTTTTTAAATCTTCCATCTTTGTGCTTTTCGTGAACTTTTCCAACTTATTTTGAGAGAACTGTGAGTTAGCTGTCTGGGTATCGTGAAGTATTTGCGTTTTTTTCCACCGGATAGGATTACCCAAGTTAAAACCCGCCTGGTAAAAATTTTCCTTAAACCAAGCCGAAATATTCATCAGTTATCCCAGTCTTTTATAACAACAAATAAAGAATCGATGGCGATTCCCGACACTTTCTAATGAACAGATTTTAGGCGAGGTTTGAGAGTGTTTCCGATCGGAAGACGATTATTGAATTTACAGGTTTGTTTTACATCTGTCAACACAGAGTCAGCAATCATCAGTAGTACTCCACACATTAGGTGTCTAGTTGCGCACATCATCAAGTTTCGCGCAATCTTAACATCAGCTCAACTTGACTTCAGGGGTTATCGATAACGGAACTTTTCAATCTCATACAGCCGAAAGCTTTTTTATCTCTGAATACTTCCTTTTCGCTTCGTTTTTAACCTATGAGGACTATAAATAGGGCGTCACAAGGCTGTGTGGTTCATTTGAAGTTACTAATGACCTGTGGTGTTTTCTACACCTCGGCATCTTCGTGCCGCAGCCTCGCGACAGATTTGATTATAATCCTGTGAAATTCAAACGATCCAAGAACAAACAGGGTTTGCCTCTCTGTGTTCTTGGCCGACGTGATAAGCTTTGCCATTTGTATCATTTGTCAAGGGGTCTGGTCTCTTTCCGGTGGAGTAAAACCAAACAACCGGAGCCAAATTAACATTACTTGTTAAACTGCACGTCGGACTCAGTCTTAGGAAGACATTGAGAAATGGAGGGCGAATCAACGGAGGATATGGGCTCTGGTATAATGGACTATGGTTTATCTGAAAATTCAGAAAATCCCATCAACTACACCTTTTTGGCGATCCAATGTGCGTGGTATTCATTCGTCCTTATTCTTGGCATCACAGGGAATGTGTACATCATTTTAACAGTGTGGTGCCGTAAGGACATGTGTTCCACAACAAACTTGTTCATTGTGAACTTAGCTTTCAGCGACTTAGGGATTCTGCTGATCTCTCTCCCAGCTGAGTTCATCAAGGATTATGTAGGTTGGCCCTTCGACAAGCTAACCTGCCAGATTTTCGCCCCGTTGAACGAAGTGTTCTTTTGTGTGTCCATACTGACTCTAACTGTTATCACAATTGAGAGGTTTCGGGCGATCTGCAGACCTTTTAAACCGCATCTAACGCAACGGAAGGCCAAAGTGATCATCATTATCGTATGGTTTGTGTCATATCTTACTGTTGGTTTTCCAATGTCGTTTCTTATGGATGTGCAAGAGAGTCAAAACCATCTCAGATGCGGACCTAAGTGGTCGGGAGATCTTCAGCGGCGAATACACACTTGTTTTATTGCCACACTTATCATCGTGCCCCTGTTCATAACAGCCGGAGGCTATGCAGCAATCGTGTCTGCAATGAAAAGACAAAGCGCGCGGATCAGGGCGAGAGCAAACTCCTTGAGCGGCGCAACCGTTACCTTCCGTCATGACCAATTCCGTTTAGAGAAGAACGCAGAATTAATCAAAATGCTTCTACTCATTGTCGTTGTATTCTGGATTTGTATGCTTCCTTTAACTCTACTTGCCCTGGCAATAGATTTTGGAGGCATCGATCCGACAACAAAAGCAGTCGATCTGTTATACACCCTCGGTATCTCCTTATTTTTTAGTAACAGTGCATTTAACCCCGTCGCTGTGTACATGATGAGCTCAGAGCTGAGGAAAGGACTCTACGCCTTCCTTGATAGAATTTCAAAGTACTTTGACTACAAGTTTATCGAAGTATGAAAACAGATGAAAGACTGGCTACTTAGCCTCGCAAGGTTCTCTCATCTGAAGTGGCTGTAAATAGTGGTGGAATGTTATATTTAGTTTCTACTTGTGATGTGTGCACAGATTGTAGCTGTTATATGTGTAGTTGTACAAACAATTTATCCGTAGCAGATGAAAATAATGTAAACTTCTTAACCTAAAGCATTTGATTGGATTTTATCTTTCGTTCGTGCTTGATTCATTCAATACCGAAGATAGCTTGACATAATTCACAGGAACTAATTGACCTTAAATTAAACTTCTTTTTGAGCTTAATAACCATCCGCAAAGAGACCAAAAATTCCGAGTAAAATATTCCTTGTTCTTCGGGAGATAGAACATTTGGAAAAATGTTTACGTTCACCCTCTATAAATATAACTGCATCATCCCAATACACATGAATCTTTACCATTTAGGAACTGAACACGATACGCAGCCATTCCTAAGCTTTTAATAAGCTGATTGACGGGTTTAAGTTTCTTGTTTGTTTGGATCACCCATCAATCAGTACAAAGGACCAGCGGAGTAATTGAAATAAGTACAATTGAAAAACGATGCAAAATTGCAATACACTAAAGTCTGTACCCTGATTAAGTCTACTAAGTATTCTTTGATGTCTCTCACGTCATCGAATACGTATCCTGGTTTTATTCACACAGCGGTGATCTTAAACATTTATCTTCTTCTCCCGAAGTTAGAACTCACTTATTAAAAAAACAGGAGATGGAACATATGAGTCAGCATAACTTCTCCTTACCAATTTTCCCGGAATAGTGTAGCAGCTAGACGTGAAAATTACTATTTCCATCGAAGTGTTCTCAGCTGAATAACCATTGGCTGTTTTAATCATTTTTAAATCGACTCAAATACCATAACCTTGTTGAAGAACGACAATGAATTGCAACGACAGCTGGAGAAAACAACTATTTCTTAGCCTCAAGCTGTAATGGACTCTTATGCCGCCCGAATTATGGGGCGATAGGTAATTTTTCATATGACAGCAGAAAACAAACATAACGCATGTGGTACATATTTTTGCAGGGTAGAGAAAATGTGTATAGTTAATTTATAATGTAAGGAAAAAAAGGTTAGTAACCGTTTCGGTTTAGTACGTAGTATTTTTATATAGGAATTATGTGAAATACAGAAAAAGTCCATGGAAAACTGCCAAACCAGTTTCCTTTGAGGTTTAATCCCTTATTTTGGTCAAGAGATTTTGGCAAGAAAAGCTCTTGCTCAGGAAAAGAGACTGTTTATTTCATCCTGATTACGAAAATCTTAGAGATACAGTCAGGGTAATTCTGTTAGAGCCGGTTCCCTGGGCCGATCTTGATTCATTTTGTCCGTGTGTGCTGTCAAAGGTCATGATGTTTTGGAGAAATTTTGTAATTGCATTAAAAGGAAACATTTCAATTTAATTCGTCGATGTAGGTAAGATCCTCAGATGTTCAAAGGTCGAGGATGAATCAGCAAAAGAAATCACACAAGGATAAAGTTATGAGTAAGTTCTAGAGTAAACCATCAAAGTTCTGATCAATAAAAGAAACTGTGGTGCTGCGTCGGTGGGAGAGTATAACAGGGTAATTTAGTATTCAGTAAAGTTTCGAGCGTTAGCCCTTCGTCGGCTTTTAAACTCTTTACGGTGGCTAATTTACGTTATCAACTGAGTTGATAACATTAAATGTCTGATCAGTTGTCTGCAGATAAGAATGGAGGTAATGGAATGCGCGTCATACTTTCAATCGCTAGGAATCTCTGAGATCTGAATTAAAATTCCCCCACTGACTTCAACCCAAATGCTTTCTGATAAGTTGACAGAATTCAGTGTAACATCTGCATAATCATAGAAATGAAACAAAACCACTCTAAGCAGTTTTCATAATGGGAATTTAACTAATCCCAAACCTATAAGGATACGAGCTATTTAAAGAAATCAACTTCAGTCTCGAACTGACAGTCAACAAAAGGGTCTAACTTAGACCGTTTACAACACAATTGGAGAGTCGGTTTATGCATCCAAACACAGGTGATCGGGTTACATTGATTTCCTTTTGCGCAATGTCATAGGGCTTGCGTGGGATGTTCTCAATATACTATGTACAGGAACAAACTTTAAAAATAACAAAAATGGTCCTCGGTGAGGGGGAGGGGAGGCTTCCATCATTGACGGGAAACATTTCGATGTGATCCACCGAGCTATATTAGTTTAAACTGTTAGTGTTTTATCACATATGCCATAATCTGATTGGCTACACCCCTCTCTATCCATTCCCTGATAGACAGTCAGTCAAGTAGATAGCCTGACGTGTGGTGGTAAACAAAATGTAATAAAAACATTAGCTTTTCTTGTTGATAAGTTTCGGACTCCGTGTATGAAAGGACTCCATAACCACGGCCCGAAATTCCCCAAATCGCGTTCTTTAATTCTTTCAAAATCAACTTCCTTGTTACTTCTCAAGACTTGACACCGCCGTTTCCGACTTTCTCAGGTGGTTTTACTGATTAATCTCTCTATTCAAGGCCAAATCAACAGGAGAATAAAAACAAAATGCTAGCCACCGAAACCAGACACTGCACTTTATTATACATCAGACAGAGTAGGACTTACGATGCAACTCTTTCCGGAAGTACCTATTCTTCGTTTTCACGAATATTTATCGCTTATAAGGTACCTCAATTGATATCTTAGCCAAAATTTTGAAAAACAGGTACATGATGTCATTGTTTACTTAGTGACCATAATTAGGCAGAATTAAAAGTGAAAACATTGATCATTCCGATCTCGTGATCAGTTTTCTGATCCCTCTCAATAACCCCTCAGAAACGTATCTCTCTTCATGCTTCCAAGGATCTTAAGAAGCGCAATTTAATGCCACTTGTAAGCACAACTCTTATTAAATTTCTTTTATTTCTTAAAACTACTTGAGGAGATTGTAGTTAGAGAGATAGGCGAAGAATTGCTGAGACTAAAGCTACTCACTGTCATCAAAAGCTAAGCAGCTTTTGTCTTCGGGAATTACAGTTTTGAGGATCAAATCACTGTAGTTCTGTTTCTCTACAACCTGTATTGGTTGTATAATCTGCGGTCTGGCGGCTGTTGCCAAGTTATAGTGTTGGTCCTGTGTTATGTTTGCACGTTTCTATATCGTTAATTTTGTCGATTTTATTAAAGCATCAAAGAGCAAAAATTTAGATGACACAGTACTGAAAACTCAAATCTCGGCACAAAGCCAGTAGCTGGTAGAGTTATCTCTGTTAATCTGATGTGAAAATTTACTTTGATATTTGTACAGATTGTATTTGCACAGATGAGCTTTAAAAAGAAGAATTTTAAACATTAGCGCAAAAATGAAAAAAAGTCCTGTTATTCAAACCTTTGTCAATAGAAAAGTAGTTTTCCATCGTATACGTATTTTAAGCTAGTCCTTAAAATTTGGCAGTTATATTCTATATTCTCCCTCCTTTTATACTTAATAGTATGTTAATAATGTGAAAACAAATTCAATGTTTATGGCCACAGTCTTTGTGAAGATTTTCAAAGAAAACGTTTTTCTGAAAAAATTTACTTATTGCACAGTAGTAGTTGTAACTTTTCAAAGGGAGAGGGTGAAAGCTTTGTTCTTCTCTAACCAATCGTATCACGATTTTTGTTTTGGTTTTTCTTTTCAATTAACAAAGACGAAGAGCTGGGGGTTTCGGCTGAAATTCTCAAGATGTGCTGTATTAAATGAAAGTTATTTCCTATTGAGAATTATGAATAAGCTTCATCGAGTTCATTACCCTAGTTTAGACAAAATTTGAGACAACATCAGTTGGAATGTTACTCACCGGCAAGCAATAGTGATGTAAACAGAATTAGGGAGTTGACATTTTAAATTCACAAAGTATGTCTTTCAAATTTTCAATCTCATGCTGTAACGTTTTTGTTTACACAAAGGGTATTTTCATAAGAAGTTCGTCAACTTTCTTGAGCGGTAAAAAACGATTCTTTCAAGAGCGAGTTTACATGCATTACACTTTTAACTAGAATTGCAATCGCTGTCATTTTCTACTCACTACTCAATAATTTTTAATTTCCATCAGTGCCTACCCAACAATTTCAATTTCTTCAGTCATTGATTATTAATAAAGCGGTCATTAAATTTTAATCAGAGTTTTGACTAAACAAATGCGTTTTTCAAACTTTAATGGAAAAATGTTTTTTTGTTTCCAGTATGGTTCCCTTGCGCCTCCGATGAATAATACGTTAATTTGTTCCAGAATTTCTCACGAATGTGGCAAAGAGTTATGAATAGTGAAACGAAGCTAAGTCTCCCCGGTTATTGTGCATTAAAAATTCATGGAATTAAACTAATAACCTTCGCTTCAGAAAAAGCTGTTTCCCGAAAAGGCCGTCAGGGGAAGAAATGTGTCGAGAAAGAGTTTGTATTATTTTTCCCTCTACGTTCAAAAACTGACGTCATGTTACGATTCAGAATTTGGTCTTGCATTTCTCTGGTAAGCGTGTGCTTCTCTGCTTTATTATTGAAGAACAATCGTTCTGGAATAAGAGATGCTTAAGACATACGTAGCTTATTTTGTTCGCTGAACCACGTCATTTATTTTTCTCTGACATGTAATTATTAACGCCTCGAATGAATTTGAAGATAGTTTATCTATACTGAATATAACTAGCCGAGAATCATGGAATATTAGCACAAAAAAGAATTGTATTGTTTTCACAGATTATTGTTGCTGGAAAATTCAGTGAAGGAGTTGTACAGAATGCAACGGAGGAGAATTTCATCTATAATTTGTCATGTTTACCACCAGGTATTTCTACTCTGCTAAAAATTATTTTGCTCAAATAAAGGCGACTAAAAAAATGATTCATCTTCTCTTGGATATAGAATTTGATGTTTTCTATAACTAAACAGAAAAACCTTTTCTTAATGCTGTAAAGTTGTTTTGCTTAGTGTCGTTTAATATTGGTTAATCCGGGGCGACCTTGGTGTTAGAAGTGTCTGCCGAGAAGTTTTAACACTATCTTTTTGTAACGAACGTAGTTCCCGTGTTTGTCCTTCCCGATTATACCTCGGTTACTTCTTCAAATATTTCATGTAATATTCTTCAAGCAGATATCAACCATTTAATTCCCAATAGTGGTTAATGTGTCATTTCTAGTTACCACATCGATACATTATCTTCCCAAAAGATGATGGGAAAAGACTTGTGTATAAGAGTACCCTGAGGCACTTCCCTAACGACGCGGATAGACATTGATGATACCGAATGTGTTAGGCAACTATGGATAAACACACAAGCAAATTAACACTTCTCTACAGAATCATATTTTTCTTCCTTTTGATGTCAATGCATTGTCTTCCAGAAAGGAGACTGTAGTGTTACTGAGACTAGAACGTTCTAGAAGCTCTCAAAGATGATAACTTTTATGAGTATTAGATAAAATATAATACGATACAATATAAAAATATTTGCATAAGATAATGAAGAATCACTTTTACAACAGAAGAGGACGAATTTTTTGAGCTATCTTGAATACAATGTTCCGTGTTTTGGTATTTTCGTTTTAAAGGCCTGGTCATTAGCTATCTACTGAAGATGGCAGGGGTGGGGCGGGGGAGGAAATTAACATGAGCCGCACGTAAGGCTCTGTAGAAATCTAATGACCCCCCCTCATTAGCAGTGAATGAATCAAGAAACATCCATCTTTCTATAGTCCCCCTTGTCTACTATGTTACTGATGACCAAAAATATGATCTGTTGTCTAAGTTACTTTTAATTGCTGAAAATGCCTTTTTAGTTTAATTTTTTAAAATTAGAATCGTATAAAGTTTATCAAGAGAGAGTCACGATCCTCTCAATGGAGCATCCAATGTAATAATGGTAATTAAAAAACGCTTTTGATTCCAGACATCAAAGGTATTTTACAAGAAGTATGGCTGGATAATATACATGGAAACAACTTGAGCTCGTTATTGGAAAATCAAGATTTTCCTGACTCTCCCGATCGAGTCTCGAATCAAACGTTTCTACCCGAGCCACAATATGGTCAGCGGCTTCGTGCCTATTTCGCCGCACCCGAAAGTGGAATGTATCAATTTCATCTGTCCTGCGACGGCGCATGCGTGCTTCTGATCGAGAGTAAGATGGGGAGCTTATTGACAAGATGTCAAAACTCGTAAGTTTTTACCATCTAAACAAACTACGTCGATGATGCTTACACACAATTTTGTTAAATGAGTTCTTTGATTGATTATACATTTAGACGGATAATCATAAAAACGTAACTATACTTGTTAAGGATCAAGGATAATGCAATAATGATTGAAAACAGTATTTAATCTTGTAATCTGATCGTCTGGGCGAGGATAGTCCTGAGAAGGGCTGTGGTGACTGACAGACGTTTCGACAACCTGAGCGGAGGTCATCATCAGAATCGAGAATCGAGAGAAAAATAACGTGTTACTTTCTTTCAAGAAAAAAAAAAGAAAAGGAAGGAAAAATTCCAAACTGGTCAGTCGTGGGTAGCATCAAATTTCTAGGCGAGAAATCAGAAACTAAGCAATTAAGAGATAGGAAACTACATGCCTGCATGCGTCTATATGACATACGTGAAAAATCATACAGTGGATTGTCAAGCAAAGCAATGATCCTCATAAGTCAGCGGTAGAAAAGAAGCTTGAACAAAAAATTAGGCTTTAACCGGATTCGAACCTGTGCCTCGCAGATACTATTCGGGTGCTACTAGCGACTGAGCTACAAAGCCACACTTCCGGGGAGGCAAATTTGTGAGCGTTCTTTTCTCCCGTGGAGGAATCTGACCACAATTTGTGATGAAATACATCTCGCTCCTTTAAATAATTCATAAACATATTTTTTTCTTAGATCAAAGGGCATGAACATGACCGCAGGATCTTTTTATTATGTGACGGTGCTTCACGTTGTCTCAAACGCTAGCAAAAATGTTTCGCTGTCTGTCACTAAGCCAAACGGAACCCTACTCAGTCCGATTCCTCGTGAGTATTTTGTAGCCTACAGGAAAGGTAAGAGCGTTTGTCAATCATTTATGACACCATTTAGACAGTAAGACAGATGGACACATGAGAGGACGGGTGGCCGATCATTCAGACTGATAGGCATGCAGTCAGACTGTTAGTGAGCGAGTTGGTGAGTCCGTCAGACAATCGTTTAACAAGTCAGTTAGTTAGCTTGACAGTCAGTCCGCCAGTCAGTAAGTCAGTTAATCAGTCAGTTAGTCAGCCAGTCAGTCAGTAATTCAGTCAGTCAATCAGTCAGTCGATCAGTGAATTAGTTAGTCAGTCAATCAGTCAGTCAGTCAGTCAGTCAATCAGTCAGTCAAACAGTCAGTCAGTCAGTTAGCCAGTCAGTCAGTCAGTCAGCCAGTCAGTCGGTCAATCAGTCAGTCAATCAGTGCAATGATTCATTTAATTAATCTGATAGTCATAAGTTAAAGCAATCGATATAGTTTCCTTAATCATCACGAGCTCGCACAACTGTTTCCATGCAAGTCATGTCACCTAGGAGAAAAGAATGCTTAAGAATTTAGAGGCTAATTCTTCTCCCTTGTTGGTTGCAGATGGAAACCTTAGCGAATACATTCCAGGGGACTGGGGCGAGTGGAGTGCATGTCAGGGGGGCATCCAAACACGAAATCGCTCGTGCCAGGTTCATCCGCCTGTCTACAGCAGGCTTAATTCTTCCTATCAGCTTTCTGACACCAAGAAATGCGGCGAAAATGGTATGTGTTTTATCTTGAACAAGTCCCTCTACAATCTTGTTATTGTATAGCGACGATGGAATTGCGGTTTGTTATAAGTTTCGATGCCCAAATTAGGTTGGCCATTTTCAAAAGAAAAGGTTGCATTTATCTTTCACATAGTTAATCGAGCGAACGATGTTAGTTTTAAAACTTTAAAATGAAAGGAAAAAACTCCCCCCCTGTTGATTTGTCAACGACAGTATTAGATTAAGCTTTTAGATCATACATGATGCAGAAAAAAAGGAATAAATGAATTATTAGACAAATACAAAAAGAAAGAAAAAAAGAAAAGTGCTAAAACATATGCAGATAAAACTCACTCACATCAATATCCTATCAAACAATAGAAAATATTGAACCCATTATTTACTCTTGTAGCGATCCATGACAGTGGCTAAAACAAACAAATTGGACAGAGGGGGCGAAATGTTAAGTAAGAGAGGAATTTCACTCATCCATACAAGCCACACATCAATATTAATTCGAAAGACCATTCAAAATAAAAATGGCGAAAGGTTTTGAATAGACAGGCCCCGCCCCTCCCTCCACCCCCTCTTCACCCCTCCCTCCACCCCTCCCTCCATCCCTCGAAGCCCACGCTTGAAAGAGGACAATAAGAAATCTAGATTTTACTCATGTAGTCACATGTGATTTCATTATGTTTTAATCGAATCTATGTCAGTATCTGAGCAACTGCACACCTACTCCTTCCCTAACTAACATTAACCTTAACTTGTTATCGGCTGACTGTCGTTGGGTTAGGGATGGGGTAGGTGCGCTGTTTCTCAGATACTGACATTGTTCCTTGCTCTCTACGATTAACTTCTCAGTAACTTGTCAAAAAAACCAATCGTGTTTAAGTTGTCCACTGGGTATGAAGACAGGTGCAATAACAGACGAACAGATTACGGCCGGATCTTTTTATAACGCTTCAACTAGTCCTGAATACGCGCGATTGGATGGTCATGGGGCCTGGTGTCCAAATACTACACACCGCTTTCTCAGAATCAATCTGGTTGTACCACACATTATCTGCGCTATTGCCACACAAGGGAACTCTCAACTGAGATTATTTACTAAAAAGTACAGACTTATTTTACGAACAGGTGAAGCGTCAAATCGTTACGAAGATTCAAATGGAAGTAAGGTAACGTTTATCTTTTTTTTTTTTTTTGTCTCATATCTCCTTCAATTCCGGGCCAAGTTGTGACACTAATCAATTTTCAGTTGAAATTGCCCTCCTTTGACAGTACTTAAACCAAGAGGTTTTTCAGGTGATTTGGAGGCGGATCCAGGTTTTATTTTTTGGTAGTGTGTGCACTACTAAGGAACGACGTAAAGGATGGGTGACGTAGACAAATTTTAAAAACAACAAGGGAGAAGGCTTATAACTAGGCAATAACATAATGTAAGCTGTTGAGAATCCATTGCAAATGATACAACAGATTTTGCAAAACCGTGAGGTTATATTAGGAAGCTACGGATCATCTCGGGGGAAGTGGGGTGGGAAAGTGCTGCGTGCTCACCCCCTGCACCCCTCCCCTCCCCTAGATCCGCCCCTGTAATTACAAAATCCTAGAATAATTAAGAAGTTATGCTACCCGTAATGACCATATGGGGCACACAAAACCGGCAACAGAACTATGAAAGAACGCTTCACATCCACCTTTCATTGTTTCTTTTATAGATTTTACAAGGGAATTACAATCCAGATAAGGTCCATGTTAACGCACTCGAGGGCGTCGTCATAGCAGAAAAGCTGACTTTTTCTGATACGGATAAAAATTCATGTCTACAAGTGGAAATATATGGATGGCCACTAGATAACTCAACAGGTCTGGTTATAGAGTGATGATCATTATTTATGAAAGTCTTACTCTCAATACCCAATATTCAACCCTCGTTGTCGCTGGCATTTGCCTTGGTATACAAAAGTTGGGTTGACCCCGAAGAAAAACTTGGAAGGAAGTGGTAATTACCGTTTAACAAACGCTATTGTCGTGAATTTGTGCATGCGACAAACGTGCGCATTCCTAGTTTGACGATCGCTATCTGCCAATTCTAACCCTAATCTCTAAGGTTACCTTATTTCCCAAGTATACCACCCTTCAGAAAAACTTGTCCCTCCGAAACATTCTCGCCTGGATTCGAAATTTGCCGAGCGCAATTTCGAACATACGATTGGAAAAATTTTGGAGGACAACCAACGGTAGTGACATTGTCTTCAAAAAAATTAAAAAATAAGCAGCAAGCAAAATAAAATGATTTAGTTGGAGCTTTCGAGAGAAATAAGAAGAATAAAACAAATGTCCTTACGATTGAGGCTCGTGTAGGAAACTTTTCTCTGTTCTATAATGAGTTATTCTATAGAAATTCTCCTCGCAATGTTTACAGCTTTTGTGGAGACTGATAACATCATTCACTCTAAACTCCAGTCTAATCAATTATGACTCTTACCTGTTTTCCCTTTGTGTGCAGTAGATAAAAATAGATGTATTCCAATCATTTTTCAAGTACGGATCATATAACTAACATAATGTGTTTTATTATCTTTTTTTTTAGTCATATCTCCAACTCTTCCGCCAATAATTAATGAAGTCATTCAAAATGAACGCTACATGTATGTTACTGGCTTTTCTTGGAGTCGACCAAAAGTCTATGGGGGCCTAGTGACAGGATACAAAGTCATCCTCCACTATACAGACGGTAACCGCCATAATTGGACACTGGAAGCAGACAAAAGATCATTTTCTGCGGGGATGGGCCCCAACAGCACCTACTGTATAACTGTGCTGGCTTTTAATGAGGCTGGGGATGGACCGGCTGCAAAGTGTATTAATTTTACAACTCGGGATGGAGGTAAGGCCCCTCCCCCCTTAAAAAATTAGAGGCGGTTGATCCATTTTTTATGCCGCTGAACTTAATGGTTTGGTATCTTATAAGGTACGCAGACTATGTTGGTGAATTTTCAACCTGTTTTTAGAAAAATTATAATAAGTTTCCACAAAATATCGCAAGAATTCTGTGTAAATTAAATTTTTACCAATCAAGGTGGGGGTAGGAAAACACGTTAATACGCAAAGAAAATTATGAAAGTGTTAGTCATCGTATTTAATTTTTCGTAACGTAAAATAATCTATAATTCAAAACTATCATCGGAGTGGAGGGGAATAGTGCTGAATATTAACCGAGTCGCGTCCATCGGTTTCACTGACCATGAGGTAAATCATTGTTTTAGTATATACCACAAGGAAACAAAAAAAAAATGGATTTATTTCTGTCTATATGCAGAAAAATGGTTGGAAATTAAACACGTAACGCACGATTTTTTCTCTTCAGCCAATCGAGGTGAAAAGTATTAGCTAATCACATCCGAACTAGTTAATCGGCGCACGCAAAAAGTACTATTCACCCATGTGGTATATACATATAATTTACATAATTTCTTAGTTTGGGCTGTCCCGTTATTAAATAAAGTGGAAGTGGAATTTTATCCTTCATACAACTAACAATGATCTTGTTTCACAGCCTGCCCTATTTCTTGGATGAGATATCAGGACTCGTGTTATTTGAATGTAAGCAAACCAGCAAATTGGCCACGTGCTAAGCAGGAATGCATAAGTCGACACTCTCAACTCGTGACTATCTACAATGAGGACGAATTTAAATCTGTGGCAGCTTTGGCTGAAAACTTTTCCTGGATTGGAGCTGAGTGGAACGAGAACAAGTCAAAGCACGTGTGGTTGGATGGTTCAGACATCGAATTTCAGCCACCTATCTGGAAAAATGGAAATGAAGACGGCACTTTGTGTGTTGGGATTCGTGATAGTGCTTCGTTGCAACGAGAGAAATGCGCTCATGTCAGACCTTATATCTGTGAGAGGAAAGGTGAGTATAACCAACGCACCAACAATAAATTTAAAAGAGGTTTAATTTCCTGACGATTCGACCGAACTCTTTTATTTACACGTTATTGCCAGTGGTTTCTAAGTAAAGTATTACGAACATAATACATCAAGAATGGAACCCTAATCACAAGATAGGAAATAACGTTGGAAATAACAGAAAAACAAGACACTAAACGAAAGGGCGATTTACCCGACGATTTTTGAATACGGCTGGCATAAGAAAGTTACCTGCGATTACATTTCAACTCGAGCTCACACCTTTTATTTGCATGATCCGCGCGAAAGTCAAACTTCTATGGATAGCCGCGTGGACTGGGGCTAGGAGGGGGATTGGTTTCTACAGTGAGAACTTAATGGTATCTTAGCCACGCGTGTCACTTCCAAGATTTCATCAGTAATTCTCCTTGCTGTCTGTCATACAATAGTTATGGCGTTGATTTGAAGAATTTGGTGTTAGATCAACTAATAATCCTCCAATTGATATTTTTCGTTTTTTCCATCACCTGTCTGCTAGATGTTGTATTGATGTTATCAAGAGAAATTGTCTTAGTCACGAATGGGAGCAAAAGGGTTGATATAATATACTCTAATAACTTTACAAGACACAAATTTAAAACTTGAGAAAAAAGTGGGAGTTTTTTCTTTTTTTTCACTTATTTTTTAGCGTTGTTATGATAACATCGATGAAAAACGTTCGGTAACAATATCAAAAGTCAAAAACATTGTGATTCATGAACACGTAGGCGCTGAGATATTCAGTTTAAAATTGCCACGATTCATTTAAAGAAATCCACGCTCATGGACGCGGTCCCTGCACAAGATATTTTGTAAAATTACACAGATCCATGCTCGGAACGAGTCTTAGGTGTGAGTCGATGATACTGGCTTAAGAATCCTAATAACAGGGCACCACTTCAGAACATTGCTTTGGGTAATTTCCTATCACAAGATATTTTTGCTTCTCTGGTTCAGCTACGAGAAGGTATTACTACCTTATTTCTTTTTCAGTCGCTCCTGACCCTGACGACTTGAAGTGTGAAGATAAGGGCGTTGGACTTGAATATCGCGTTAGATACGACAGTATATTTTTTGCATCTTCATCATTATTAAACAAATACCGACCAGGTAATGCCCGATTGGCCGGGGAAGAGGCCTGGTGCCCAAAGACAAATTCTACAGAAGAATACTTGGAGATAGATTTAGGTTCTTTGTACAAAATCTGTGCTCTTGCTACACAAGGACTGCTTGAAAGAGGTGCTTTTACCAAAACGTATCGTCTACAGTTTTCCATCGATGGCTCAAAATGGGACTGGTATATAAACGAAAACAGCCAGGTAGATAATTAATTAAAAGTTTTCTCTAGTTTTTTTTCCATTCAAGAATACCTTTGCTAAGAGACCAGTCGTTTTTTTAGCGCGGGGGTGGGGAGGGCTGGGGGATTTTTTGGGGGGTTCACTTGGTCTTCGGGGGGAAACGGATAGGAGTTCAGTCGTCGCAGTCGCAGAGTACAGGAAGGGGGGGAATATAGAAAAATAACTACCAGTTAACTGCCTATGAGGGGAGATCACAAGGTTATCAAAGAGCTCTATGGGGGGATCAGGTAGATTTAATCGCGAAACAAACAAACCCTCCTTCCCTCCCCCCCCAATGATGACCATTCCACAAATATTTTCGTCTGTGTGTGTCTATTATTTGTCTTATTAAAGGGCACCATTTTATCATTGAATACATGATGTTCTATGCCTTTTTCCCCAAGGTCTTTCAAGGAAATAAAAATTCATACGAAGTAGCGAAAGTAGTGTTTAAACAAGTTCCAGTAGCTCAACACTTTCGGATCTGGCCATTGAAGTTCTCTGTTCATCCCTGTTTGAGAATTGAACTTTATGGAAATAAGTCGAAATCTCAGGGAGGTTGGTATCTGTCTCATTGTTTCGCTTAAACCTTTTTTAACCTTAGATTTTTCTCTGCTTGCGTTGAACATATATTTTGTGGTTTAGAGGTGAAAGGTTTCTGCCAACGAACGTAAATGCTAGGTACAATATTTGGCTCTCATCTACCATTAGTAGAATTCGGAGACCTCGAAATTAACGGTTGGAGATATTGCACATTAAGCAAAAAAAAAGCACATCTTTACGCAGAGGCAGGCAAGTTGATTCCGAAACAACGGAAGTTCGTTAACACTTGCTTCATCCAAGCTCCTGTTTAATGAGTCAAACTCTCACATGGAGTTTGTAGCCCAGTTTCCAAACCATATTAACATTTATACATCTTATGATTTTCTCTACAGGTCCACCAACCGGTGCACCAACGAATTTGACCACGGAGATAATATCTTTGACAACGGTACAAGTAAGCTGGAATTTCATCCCGGACTTCTTCGATGGAGGTTTGGGAGTTATTGGATATTGGGTGTATTATTACATAAAAGGAGCTGGTGCAGAGGGATTAGAACAGCAGAAGAAAGATGTACAGGATAATTCGACCAAACTCTTTAACCTGAAATTAAATGCGACTTACTGTATATCAGTCGTTGGTTATAATGAAGCGGGAGAAGGTCCTCGAAGCGAGTGTACTGACCTTCACACTCCAGCAGGTAAGGTTTTCTTTAGGATTATAAGTTAACCTTTTAAGCCTTAGGAGTGACCACCATCTATTTTTGACCCTAAGAGTGACCACCATCTATTTTCTCCTTACAGCAATGCTGCTGAATCATTTATTAAGATCATGAGAATAAAGGAATAATCACAAACCTAAGAAGCTTTGATTGTCAAACCAATTCTCCTTGTCAGTGCCAAGGGAAATGTATAGAGAAGAGTATTGAAAATATGGATACCGATGTTTGGGTGTTTTGGGTAAATTAAGAAACTGATCCTTATGCCATAGAGAGTAGTCCAAGACAGAAATCAAGTGTAATAATAATAAAAAGAACCATAAAATCATCAGTGCCCTGTTGTATCTTAGTTTGGATACACAAACCTTCTAGACCAAAAAAAAATAAAAATTACATCTTGGATATCGTAATAAAGGTGATTTGTTATCTTATAGGAGAGTATGGCTTGTACCTCCCCTCTTCCGGGAAGAAAGATGGGGTAGAAACTTGTTAACTGAGGCAGGGCCTGATCATTATTTATCGCTTTGGGGGTTAGGGGGAGGGGGAAGGTCTTTGGATTTTGGTTGTGTCAAAATAAAATTTACCTGATCCCTCCAAAGGTCCTGTTGTGGGTCACCCCTTTATTCCTTGTTGGCGACGACTGAACGGACTGGGCTCCCCTCTGAAAATCAAGTGATCTCCCCAAAATCCCCTGACCCTCCCCCCTCCCCCAAGCAACATTGACTGGTCCATAAGTTACGTCCATTAAAGTTACATTTTTTTTTTCACAGTATGTTTACAGGGATGGTCAAACTATGGCGGAAACTGCTATCGTGCCTCTGAGAAAGTGAAGGCAAGATAGAGTGGAGTGAGGCTGCTGAAAAGTGTTACAACCTTAATTCTCATCTGGTATCCATCTACAGCGAGTCTGAAAATCAGTTTGTCAAATCTTTAACAGAAAGAGAGCCAAAGACTTGCTCGTGGATTGGCTTGAAATTTGAAACGAGAAACCAACTCCATTGGAATGACGGTTCTCTTGTGAACTTTACAAAGTGGAAAGATCAAGAAAATGTAAATAAGTGTGTTGCGTATCATAAGGAAAGTGAAGTTTGGGAAAAGAAATCGTGTTCAGAAAATGTTCCTTTGTCTGTAAGCGAAAAGGTAGGTCGTCATTGATTTTTATGTTAATTTCCTCCCTGATAATCGGTGATTCTGTTGACATTCTGGCGAAATTTTGGTCGGATTTTGGCGGGGTCTTGGTAAGATCTCAAGGCAAGATGTTTTTAAGATTTCAGTTCTCATGAGCTTTCCATATTCAACCTTTTTATTCTCAGAACTTAGTTTCCTTTAAAATTGGAGTGGAGCCGTCGCCATACAACAGGTAGCCATGCTGCACCTCTAGTCACAGTGCAATTCAGATATTTACGTGTGAAAAAATAATCTGTTTTATTGAAGTCATCTTAGATGATCAAAAGAATAATTTTTCTTTCTAATTATCTCTCGACTTGTGCGTTCTATTTATTTCTCTAAATTGCTTTGTTTTTGAATGACATCTATCGCAGATTTCGCTTGGCCACATCAAAGCTGTTCTGATATGCCAATTGGACTAGAAAACAGAGCCATACCAGACTATGCCATGCAATCCACCACAACGTTAAACGGTACTTCACCCTATGATGCACGCCTGAGTTCCACAGGGGGATGGTGTGCTTTTCCCAGTAGCGAAGTTTACCTTGAGGTTAACTTGCAATCGCCTCATTTTGTTTGCGCCATTGGTACCCAGGGTAGACAAAGCAAGGACTATGTGAAGAAATACAAAGTTGAACTGGCAAACAGAAACAGTAAATACGAAGTTTACAAGGAAAATGGAATTTTCAAGGTTCGTGAATTAGCAAGAGGAAAAGGTTTGTCTGAATATGAGAGATTTTTGAAATCTGTCTGATGTTTTGAATACCTCAGGTGACCAGGACTGAATTTCTCCCTATAATATCAACATCATATCAAGCAGACAAGGGAATAATTACTTGATCCACTTCCAAATTCTCTGAACAAATATAGTGAGAATGATATGGCAGACAGTAAGGAGAATAAATAATGATATCTTGGGACAAAAAGGCTTAAGAATGAATAGAGAGTCAAACTTGCACGAATAAAGCAACTTTGCATACACGATTAAGAAAAAAAACGCTCAGGTTGATTTATCTTTGGTACCTTAAGGCTCCCTTATTCTCACAAGAGTATTACAGAGTTTTATGGGGGGATCAGATAAATTTTGTCGTGATACAGAAATATCCTCCGACTCTTCTCCCCCTCCCGAGGCGGTAAATAATGACCAGTCATTAAATACGTTTTAGGAGTTTGAAGCCAACAGCGACTACAACCGTGTAAAGAAAAACTTGTTGGAGTCCGGGGTCGTGACGCAATATGTGAAGCTGCGGCCGCTGGAGTGGCATAGCACGCCATGTTTAAGGCTGGAAATTTATGGACAAATTAATTCAGAAAGAGGTATTTTGGTGATCTTACTCATAATTGATTCTTCTCCAGTTCTGAGTAGTTTTACATATTGAATATGAATAAAACCAATTTAACCAGTTCCTTAAAATAAACGAATAGATAAACCTGTTACTAACCGAGTTCGAGGTCCTTACTGTAAGTTATGGACAGAATTTTCTCCGCAAGAATTTATGGCTCACGCACGAAGCGTAAGGACCATAAATCTCAGCGGGAAAAAAAGAGTTTCTGTAACTCATAGTATAGAACGAGAAAACGAGGTGAGTTTATTATATCTAATATATATTTATTATATATTCACTATTTATGATATTTATTATCTCTATCTCTGAGTTCAAAGAGAGGGGGAAGATTTCAATTCAAACAAACTTTTGAATATAGCGGGTCGCACAGTGAAATGTGATCAATCAAAGTGCACGTTAGTAAGATGTTCATTATGTCTCTGGGTTCAAAGAGAGGGGGAGGATTTCAATTCAAACAAAATTTTAAACTTAGCGGGCTTTAGGGTAAAATACGGCCTGCTCAATCGATCAATCATAGCGCACGTACTGACTATGACAGAACGAAAGACAATAAATCATGGGTAATAAATATGTAATTAATGAATGTAAATATGAACCCGTTTAAATTTCTAGTGAGAATTATAGACAGCTGTTTAGTGTTTTGAAATGAGTGGGGTAAATGAGAGTGGGTAAATTATGAAAAGGTCAGGCCAAAAATCGTCATATCCCCGAGCGTTCTAGTGTGGCGAAAATGTTTTGAAATGAAAACGTATGCTGGGATGGTTGAGGAGCATTTGCTTTGTGTTGGTTTAGACACTTCAATTCGGACCAGGCTTACACTACATTATAACAGATACTGAAAATAATTTCATGTTTTTTTTACAGTCCCGACACGCGCTCCTGACAGCGTTTCGTTTTCAGTTGAAGATGGTGGACTACAGGTCAGATGGAGTCTGTTACCTGTGTATTTTCATGGGGACGTTCTCGACGGATACAGAGTAGAAGTTAAGAAACCAAATAACTCTATTCACGGGATATGGACATTTTCTGCAGAGGAAAAGAGTCAGAAATTTCCTGGAATTACTAAACGTGCCGACATTGGTTGTGTACTGGTCTATGGAGTTACCGAATATGGAGACGGTGTTTCCAGTGGCTGTGCTATTGAGGAGCAAGGTAAACTAAGGCCATGAAAATACAGTTTTCGTTTTGCAGACATGAAAACATTGCTCACTGAAGTAGCAACAAAAAATATCGTTCATTTTTCTTAAAAATATTGATAAGGACTTGGGCTTCTTGGCCAATGGCTCCCAAAGGAGCTCAACGAACGCGCTGTGAGGGGGCGGGGGGAGGAGTGTATGGGGTTTCTTCTCAACTCCCCGTCAAAAGAGGGGGATAACTTGTTATAGCAAAACCTCTTGTCATCCCCCTAAAGTCAGTAAGATACACTTGTTGCCCCCCCTCCTTCCATGGAAAACTTGGGTACCGTCCCCAGATCAGTTGCGCATTACCACCTGCTCTGACTGACTAATTTAATAAGCAAAACCTTGAGAGGCGTTTTTATTGATTTTGTTGATTTTGTTGTTAGCGAGTGATATGACAGGGGTATGCGATAAAAAGAACTGATTTATTTCGTCTTTGGTCAGTAATTCGCCGAATTCCCTTCCAAGGTCCCAGTCTACAGAATAAAGATGAAATCAAGTCTTAACCTCCCATAATTTGAGTTGTTATACTTTCTTCTAGCTGCTATATATTCCTTGTTAAGTAGTTTCTCATAATCTGTTTACTGATTATGGTACTAATGTTGTAAAAGGAAAATAAGTTAGTAAATTTTTAACCGTGTTAACGATGTTTGTCGGCGATAATACTAAATCTTCCGACGAGGTTAATTTGATCAATAAGGCAATAGGATTATGATTTGCATTCTATACAATGAAGTCGACAGGAGTTTCTCAGAGTCACAATAACATGTCATAAAAAAATATAGGTGACAGATACACAGAACATGCACACGAGACTGGCATATTTACGATTGAATTAAGACACTCAAAGAGGTTTAAAAAACTTTTATTGGTGGAGATCAACAGACGTGGAGGGAAGGGGCGTGGTGGAGAGGGGACTTAAATGGATTATTGACAACACCATTCATGAATGACCGACTGACTTGTTGGTTTACTGATTGGCCATTTATGGCTGACTCAATAACAATAGTCTTAGCGGATCGTGGGCAGCTCAACATTTAAATAAGAAACAATGGCTTCAAGTTGATCTAATTACATATTGCACTCAAGTTACGAAACTCTCCGCGCACCTCGCACTGCCTCCAGACCTCTGATACGTGCTTTATGCTAATTTATGCTATGGAAAATTGCGCCTCTTAATCTTTTTATTAACAGGTCTGATGGTAAGTTCCAAATTATGAAGGGCCACTGAAGAATTAGTGATAATTATTCTTTTTTTCTCCTTTCAAACCCCTTGACAGAGATAAATATACTTAAAGCGAGGGGACCCTGATACATTTTGGATCTCAGACACGTCATTTTCAATTTCTATGGGCAAGTTCGCGAAATGCGCAGAGGGATCTTAGCTTTGTCACCATTATGCTAATGAATTAATACACCATTCTATAGGAGAGGGGTCTGGTAACAACTCTATTCTTTATACGCAATGGAGTGAATGGAGCAGTTGCAGCAAGTCATGTGATCGAGGTGTACAATTTCGCAACAGGACTTGTACATCACCGTGTAGTTACGGTGATAGTTCACATCAGCAGAACAGAAGCTGTAATTCTCAAGATTGCCCAGGCAAGTACAAACGTCACGATCTATTAACCTGTTTACCCCCAGAGTAAGTGGCATTGAATTTCTCCTTACAGTATCACAACCGAATTAAACATTGAGGTCATGAGAGTAAAAGAAATGATCGCCAACTAAACGAGCTCTCTCGCTTTGTCAGCACCTGAAGATGTGGAGAATATGCAGACTGATGTCAGGGTGTACAGGGTTAATGGATTGAAAATGTATTGAAGAGGAACACTTTCGTTTCAATCATCTCTTGATTTAAAGGGTTACATATTAACAGCAGCAAAATATGTCATCTGTTCCAAATTGGGCATCTGTTTATGGCGTCCACCATAAAAATGTCACAGAAATCTCATCTTTGTCTAATTTCCTTTTTCTCATTCAAAGACTCACCGGATCCGATCTTAGATCAACCGTCAAACCTGACCACTGTGAAATCAAGCCCCAATTCTTTAGCGGTCCAATGGAAGCCTTACACCGGTAACAACACTTTGGTGGCTTACCGCGTGTTAGTGCTCCGCATGAGAGCTTGGAAGAGTGGAAAGAGTAGGAAGAGAAGGTCGATCCCGGACAAAGAAGGCGAGCTTCTAAGGAACTTTACTGTTGGCCCTAACGTCACAGCTTTTGAGATTGGAAATCTGTCCGCGTCCACCGGGTATTGTATCCGCATTGGAGCCATTACCGAGGAACTGGGGGAGGAAAGTCTCAGTGACTGTTATTACCTCTATACAGAAAAAAGAGGTAAGAAGCCAGCTGCCTCCTTTTTTTGTGTTTGTAATGGAAGGGAAGAGTTGAATTACTCGGATCAATGTCAGTATCCGAGCAACTGCGCACCTTCCCCTCCCTTAATCCAGCTTTAAACCTATCTGTTTCTTTCAGTCGGCTTTTGTTGGATTAGGGGAGGGGTTGGTGTGCAGTTTCTCAGTTCTCTTTGAAATTGAATTCCCCTTAATGACTGACTCCAGCAAAGAAGATTTATATTTGCGATCTTTGACAACACTCATTCAAAGATTTACCCTCAATTAATTCTACCTCTAGTCATTCATCGTTTTGGTGCGTTGTTCATTTGTTCGTTCGTCTGTCTTTTCAACAATGATAATAATAATAACAAGTTAATACTTCTCTAGCGCAACGTACACATAGATATGATCTGATGCTCCTGTTTGACTCACTGAAGATTTTCCCCTTTTGTTTCCGCTTATTTCTTTGCCCTTTTCGCGCAATGTCAGCTCTTGTTTTTTGCTCTTGCCTTTCTTCCTAAGAAACGACATGGCAAATAAGAGATAAAACATTTAAATATCTTTCATACAGTTATAACCACCTAACGACAAGAAACTCAAAATTTGTTTTAAATTTGTAAGTTAAGTTCTTAATGTTTGCCAGTCATTGGATACCACTATGGGGTTCTAGATTTCTTGGTTCACAGACAGCATAAAGTTACTAATTTGATATTTCAATGAAATAATGTTTTCTTCTTAGATGTGTCCCTTCCGCCTCCTCCTGAGGCAAACGCCACCACTAATGGATCCTCATCGATAACTATCCATTGGAAACCTGTGCTCAACAATACAGACTCCCCAATAATAGGATATGCCATTTTCCTTCGCGATACAAACAGATCAATTTTTGTTGAATCGTGTTTGACAAATATCACTGTGAATTCCAGTGGCTGTATCGAAATGGCAACTCTCATTACTACAGGGTGGGGAAACACCACAGGGTGTCTTCAGACAGAGAATTGTGAGTGTTTCATGTGATTCATTATCTAAAGTTTTCATAGTGTGTATGGAAAACACTCCAAAATAGTTTTTAGACTTAAAGCACATCTTAAGAACAAAGTGGTCCATAACCTCTGGGGCCGCTCTGTTTCGCCCAGCTTGAACTAAGTTAGGCCTCCTAAATGGGATGGTAGATCCCAAGATCCCTTGAGCAGTCTTCCAGGCTTTCCTTACGGTGTTCCTGTATCCATTTACACTCCTGGGTGGGAAGAGGAACCGTGAAAGCTGCCTTACCCAACGATAAAACACAGTGATCTTTCTAGGGTACGACATGGGACCCTTCATATGGTCCAGCTAGGGCGTTAACCTTCGGCAACTGCGTTTTCACTCAGTAGTGGTTGATCATTAAAGAAAAACAATGAAGAGCACCACTCAGCACTACGGAATAGTATGAAGGATATGAATACTCAGAGACCAGTAAAAGTGGTCGGATTAAAAACGATGACAGAGCCTTATCTAAAGGAGGAACGAATGCCCGTGAGATAAGATCTGTGTTAATCCCCAAAGGTATGCTTAGTTACCCTTCTCACTCCCCAAAATCTAAATTTTTTTCGCAGCACCTACGCCAACGCCAGAACCTGTTGTTAATGAGACTGCTCCAAAGATCACTGCATCGATAAGAAGATCTCTGGCAACCATATTAGTCACGTGGGATCCCAAGACAATTTCTGGCATCAAAGGAGAATTTATCGAATATGATTTGGAGTATAAGCTCATTGAAGTTAATGGAATTCCGAAAGACGATGCTTTGTGGACGTCGCTGATGTTCAGTTGTTACCAGTCCAAAACAGAGTTCAATCTAACAGACCTTTTACCATTTGCACGGTATGAGATCAAAATGGCGGTAATCACATCAGAAGGCGTTGGAAAATACAGCGAGGCAGTGTATGGAGGTTGGTTCTTTGGTACTTTACACGTCTCTCTTATTCTATTTACAAACATGACGCTATCGACATGGCTGGTCCTAGCAGTATGCAGGACACAAGTCATATGAACTTCGTAATAGACCTCACTCACCGTAGAGTCTCTCTCAGCTCAGAGGTAGATCATCGGAGCGCGGAATCCGATGATGTGAGGTTCGATTCCTCATGGGGACTCAGAACTCTTTCTTTATCCCACGCTCGTGACAAGACGAAAAACATCTTTCTCTGAATGAAAAGTGATATACGAGGGAAAAAATTTGCGTGTTGTCACATCGAAGTTTCAATTTTTCTCTGGGTTTTACTTGCCTCTGATATAAAACAACGCTCAACGCTAAAGCAGAGACAACCCTACCACTACGCCTTTTCTAATGATAGAGTAATATTTTAACCCAGGTGCTCCAGACTTAAGGTATTTTTTATTTAACAGTCTGTTGGTTTTGTTTACAAAAACTACATATTGATCATGGTCGTGCTTTCATCTCGACAGCAACTTGCGCATGCGCAGAGTTTATCACAGCTCGTTCTGCTGGTGGAATCAAAGACTCAAAGCAAGACACTATCACCTCCACACTGACAAAAGTGATATCGGACCTTCTCCTAGACACTTGTGGTAAATGCGAGGATTACACCACGAAAATTATTTATAGTAATAAGAGTGACGATAGCAATGGATTAATTAATTTTCCAGTGAGCAAAACCTCATACGGGCAGAGTGAATATAGCAAGTTTGTACCGGTGATTACAGTTCCAGGAGTATTGGTGATAACAAGGAAGTCCGACTTAAGCAAGGTGTTGACCCAAGTGGCAAGTGGCTCAGCTCTATCATCGTGGCCTATCGCAGTGGTGACCGTGGTGATGGCCACGTTAGCAGGAATAATTATCTGGTTTTTGGTAGGTATCAGGAAATTACTCAAAAATTACTTCAGGACTACAGCAGGACCCCACAAGGGCGTGGTCATGGGGTCTTACGCCCCCAAGAATGGAGGGCGTAGGACACCCCTTCTTTTGAAAAATCTTTCTTTGGCTTATTCCAACGAACCTCTAAACAACACGGTTTGCGTAATCTTCTATGTAGATAACAACTCAAACTCAAATTTTTTTTAAAATTAAACCCATAACAAACAAGAGTTCTTGTTATCTTCACCGTCCTATGTTCATTCTTCGCAGTCAAACAGGATATACATTATATCCATTTTGATTTCTCACGAGGAACATGATATGCAACTGGAGTAATGCTGATTATCATAAATCACTCCGTTGCCACTGCAGTACGGTTCTAAGCTATTTGTACCCTGCTAAGAAGTCACTCGTTTGTAATGTATTTCTCTGTTCTTCACAGGATTCCAAGGAAAACTCTGAACAATTTCCACGTCAGTTCGTTAAGGGAGCTGGTCAAGGATTCTGGTGGTCTTTCATTTCTATGACAACTGTTGGGTAAGAGAAATAATAACGTTCTACCTGGAAAAAATTGTTTCCTAATTGATCTAGCGTTTGGGAGAAAAGACCAAATAACAAAACTACAGCTATGAAAGACTCTTGTGATTTTTTTTTGAAAATCTTAGCCAGGTTATGTTCTCAACACTATATTAAGCAAACTCAAGTTTATTGTAATTTTTTATGTAGTTGTGTAGTTGTTTTGGACAGTTGAATTGTTTGCATTCCTATCCCTTCAATTTTGCATTACCGCAAAATTGCGGTACGCAATTTACGCATTTACGCATTTACATGCAATATTAAGGCCAAGTTTAACTTGTAATCCTGGGTGAGTGCTGACCTCTTTCCGAGACTAATTGGCTCTTGGCAGTAAAACAAGTCAGTCCCCTTCCAGTTATTAGCCTCTTTAAACCGCCATCAAAACCAGCGAGTTGAAAGTTTTTTTGGTGTTCCACAGCTACAGTCAATAAAAACAGTTTTTTTTTTCCAAGGTATGGTGATCTCTGTCCGAAGTCCATACCTGGAAAATTATTCGCCATGATCTGGTTTCTTATCGGCCTTGTGATCTTCTCTGTGTTCATGGGAACTCTCACTTCACTGCTGACTGTTACCACCGTCAGGAAAACTATTGGATCACCGCAAGGAACAGATGTGAAAACGGTAACTGAGTCTCACTCTCTGGGGGTTCATATGAAGTCCAGAACAATACAACGAAAAGAATTAAAAAAATTATTGCAACAGTCCCCATCTCCTCCTGACCTCAGCAAATCTTTCCGTTTGACCCCAGTTAAGATGGCAGGTAAACTTCACGCGTTTCAGCACAAATTTCCTTCACTAATTAGGCGGGGAAAATAGACAGACACAGATAGAAAACATTTATACGGTAGAGATTTCTCCCACGACTTTTTATCACAAATGTAACGAAATTACTTCAGGTTGCAGTTGTGGCTGATTCCCCTGAACAACGTGTTGCAGTTGGTTCTCTTAGTGGCAAAGTCAATCTTGGTAAGATTTTTTTTTGTATTTTTCTTGTGAATGGTTTGACAATTGGCGATTAGAATATCATAAAGTTGATAAGATAAGATAGGTGCGAACTTTATTATTGTGTCGAAATCGCTAGCATACAGTGTACACTAATTGGGAACACCTAACTACAATTAATTATCTAATAATTAATGAAAATATGATAGATATGTTCATGTGTAAGTATGAAAAGATAAAAGAAATTTTAAAATTTGCTCATCAAAGAAAAAAAATGGCTCTAGATTATCTTAGTTTAAGTATTGTTCACCAGAAAGGAAAGAAGGAACCTCCGAAGGGAACTTGATCCTTCGGAGTATTGCTCAAATACCATATTGCTGAGCTACAGGTGATATTAAAGTGGGAATTACTCGTAAAATAAGCCTATAATAGCAAGATTCATACAGGCTCCATTTTTACCTAACACAGTTTTAAACACAATTATCTCCTGCAAAGTACAACTCAGAAAATGCCAACGTCACTCCTTATTGTTCTTAAACAATAACATGACTTAAACTTTCCAGGAAAACAATTTCCAGATGTGGAACATCTTGTGAGGGCTTTAAAAGACCGCGCAGTTGAGAGTATTATGGTAGATATGTACACGCCGGTTAAACGAAAGGATTTGTTTAATGGTTCTTGGTATGAAATTGGCAAACTACTAGAGGTTGAGATCTCTCATGGAGTTCTTCTACATGGCCATGCTGTTAGCCTGGTGGAAGAATTGAAGAAAATGATCATTGCTAAAGATGTACAGTCAGAATATTTGCAAGACGCAAATGAAAACGCGGAAGATGAGGTGAAGGACGTAAATTAAATACGCATTGCGGGCCTGTTGTACAGATAAGCCTTACTCTCTTGGCCCTCTCACACGTGACTTGTGATTGAATAATTCTCTAGCCAATATAATGATAAAAATGGTTACGTTTATTACCAGAGGAGATAAGAAATCTAGCTTTTATCTAGCTTATTTTCTGAATGAGCATTTTTTCATTGACTGCCGTCTACACAGGGAGAAATTTTAGAGGAAGAACCTGTAACATTCTTTGAGCCGGCAAGTCCCTATTTCCGTACCACCATGTACACGACTCTAGCAGCTCTGGGTGTATGTTTTTGCTGCGGGATGCTGTACCAAGCATTTTTCTACAAGAGAAGACGAGCACCTGGCAATAGTAAGTACAGTTAAGCAAGCAATGATTCGGAAACAACACGAAGAACTGATAGACAATGTTTTTTTTTCAGCGAAGCACACGAACGGAAAAAACGAAATTCAGAGTACTCCTTGCCGAGCTAAAGAATATAATATCCCATTTTTATGAACCTCCCTCATTGGCAGTCAATTTTCTATAGTTCCGGCTGTTGGCGATACCTGATCCCTCCTTTCCTCATGTAAACCATGGAATCCCTCCAAGATCCTACCCCCCCCCCCGGTGATAAATAATGAGTGGTTAGGGTTAGGGTTAGGGTTAGGGTTAGTTAATGCGAACGTGATTTGTGTAATATTTGGCCGTGATTTTCAGCATAGTAGGTTGTGGTACGAAATGATTTGTTTTAGTCTTTAGTCTTTTGCAGTTGAGAAGAACCGAGTTCTTACTTACAACGGTACGAAATTGTCCCAAGGATGATCTAAACATAATTCAACACTCACGTTTTGGGATTTATTGACCATTTTGAATGATTTTTCTAACTTTTCTTATGGCAGGAATCAATAATAACGCTGTCGTTCCTGAAAACACTGCTTCTATTGCTCAGTTGGAAACAGCGGTGAAAGAATTTTACTCATCATTTTCTTCAACGTACAAGGAATTAAAAAAAAAGTTCAAAGCTGAGCTGATTCACCTGGAAAAAGTAAAGCGACAAGGAGGGAAAAACTTGATAAAAAAGAACTTTCAGATATTTGAGTCTAAAGCATAAATTACTGATCACATTTGCAAGCATGAAAATAATAACAACAATCTCTGCTATACTTTGTACAGCCTTGACTTAAATTTGTCATAAATTCTACTGCCAATTAATTCGTAGGGTGATTTTGCCGTTAGGCCACTGACATCACTGTCTAAACCCGTGTATCTGAGGCACCTTTCCGTGGTAATACTTTCTACAAAATGCAACAGTACATTGTTTTGAATTAAGGTGTCAATTGCCTTCCACAATTGTCAGTTAACAATGAGGTTAACAATGTACGTTAACAATGTCTTCATATTATACAATTTTGACAGTAGTAAAGGTGTGATAATTCTATAATGACGGAAATAATTCTGCAGGAGATCAGAGCACGAATGAGAGTATGTTACACCAAATCCCAATTATAGGAATCCTAAAAGACATGATGAAATATAAGTTCAATTCTTTGACTGAACACAAAGCAAACGTACTACACTACTTCTGAAATAAAAAAAAAACACAAGTCAGAGAACACTATAACCATGGTGGACTTAACCATAATAGTTTGAGTCAAATTTAAACGGCATTGAAGATTTTTTTTACAGTACACGCTCTTAGTGCCATTTGCCCGCAGGGTGTGGTCAATACGAGGTGATCCTTTTTTTGAACAGACACATACCACTCGACATGTCTCAAGCGTATCCCTTTTCCATTTTTAAATGTACATGCATTTGATGCTCTTTTTAGTGTTAAGTTGTCTTGATTAAGAAATAAAGTTTAAAGCGAATATTCAAGCTCACATTAGTAGAAAGTGGCTGTTGGAGCGAAACTTGGTCATGGGACCATAGCCTCATTTCGTTTTTCTGCGCATGCTTCGAGTTCATTTCTAGCCTGACGAGCCACTTTAAGTAATTCCTTTTTGTGCATATTCTTGAGTCTTTCATACTTCTGACGAAGAGAGCGGTAAAATTCATCGACCAAGTTTTGTAGTTCCCTTTGGATTTCATCCCTCTCTGTCTCCTGTTCACCTAAAATGTCAGCAAAACTGATTTAAAGGAGTTTCTCTATTTGTTTTTACACTAAGGTATTCAAAAATTGAAAGAACATAGGGGAGAATCAACTTGTCTTCTTGATATTGTATCGATATTGTATCGATATTGTATCGATATTGTAAGGGAAAAGTATGTCTTTGACACAGATTGGAGTGAGAGGGTGAATTATTCAATGCTCGTAGGAAAAGTAAGAAAATTCTGGTACGTACTCGTCTGGCATTTTCTGTTTATGGTGTACACCATTTGATAAACCAGCCCACAAACTGTGAAGATGCACAGGATACCCAGGCCCGCGAATATGATTTGCTTGTAAAATGGACTGGCCGGATCGAAGAACAGATACTCGTTGGATGTCGACTCAGCTGCTCCCTGTTAGAAAAAAAGCTGTTTTTTTAATGGAGAATATGCATTTATGTGACTTATGTCATACCTTTTATATATTTAACAAGAGAAGTGTGTGAGCCGTAGAAATTTATGTCACACCACACCACCAGAGCCTTCCGTCTATTCACGCCCATCATGTAGTTCTTTGTTGCTGTTAGAATACAAACTCATAAATTACTCTGATAAAATAGCTTATCATACCTTGTCATCGTTGCTGTTTTTTAGAAAATTAGTCTGCACGTTATCGTATGCTATCATCTCTTCCAACGCAGACGCGAGTTTTAGGGCGTCACCCCGAAGAAGAATCCCGTGACTTATTTCTGCCTTGTACAGCGCTGCAATTTCGAACCAAGAGCCATTGAAGAGATCTTTGCGTTTAACAGGAAGATACATGTCAACAAGAATATAGTCAACTTCGCCCTCCTTGAGTGCTCTGATGAGTCTCTCTACTGATGAGTAATTTGTGGCTAAAATTAAACAGGAAAGACATATGAATAGAGGAGTATGAGTCATTGACGACATTTTGACTGGGTAGAGGCGATAATATAAAGATACAAAAAAGAGCAACCCCCCTTCCTAGCCGATAAATTATGAGTGGTCCTTTTCTAACAAGTCTCAAAATAACAGCAGCCTGAGCCTAATGAGCGAGTAGATAACATATGTTACTAGTGTGGCCTTATTACGATTGTCAGCTGCTCAGCAAAGAAAAGTCGTGATTGGGGTTAACCCTGAGGAAGAGAAGGTGGGTGTGGGTGTGGGTGTGGGTGTGGGTGTGGTTGACTGAGGTGTAGGAGGAGAACGAGAGGCACCTACTGAGCTTCAACTTGGCACTGAGTGATCCCACAGCCAATTTATACTCTGGAGAATTAGCTACCGCTGCTGCCTGTTTAGGAAAAGGAAGAAAACTGTCAACACGTTATGCTTACAATAAATTTCTTAGTATCAAAAATATCATGTCAACGATATTTTCAAGAAAAGTGATGAAAAAGCACTCCTTCCGACTAAGATACACTAAATTGACTGGTGTTTTGCCTGGAAACGACAGAATACCTTTCTGAGAGGACAGATATTCCGAGAAACTTTTATTTTTCGTATGCTTTTTGTATGAACTGTTATGAATTGCAACCCATTTGAACGTTGCATTAGAAAACCCATTAATCCATTGCTGACCGCAAACTAAGTCGATAAATATGTTCGCGCTTAATCCTTTCACCAAAATCTCATCAATAATTCTCCTTAACGTCTGTCATACAATTCTTATGATGTTAGTCAGGAGAACTTGGTATTTGATCAACTAATAATTCCCTATTTTATATTTTGCTTTATTCTCATCACTTGTCTGCTTTATATTGTGTTGATAATTTGAGGAGAAATGCTGTTTTGGTCACTCATGGAAGTAAAAGGGTTAAGTCTAGTCCAATTCAGCACCATGACTTTAAGAGAAAGAACTCGCCTTGCTGTTTCGATTGATGTTGAAGTCCTTTTTCTGTGACCGAACCACTGTAGCAGTTAAAGTGGATGACATGGCGGCCATGATGAATGAGAGTAGAACTATACTGATAAGTAACCAGACAATTGCAAACGCTCTTGCTGGTTTAGACTTTGGACAACGATCGCCATAACTACATTGATGAAAAAAAATATATTGATGTAGTTCCTGTTTATTAATCCATCAATCAACCCATATATCCTGGACATAACTTCTACTGGATTTAATCTATTATGTCATCAAGCTCTTACGTCAGATCGATGACGTCCTTACCCTACTGTTGTCATGGTGATGAATGACCACCAGAATCCTTCGTACACTCCCGCGACAAAAGATGAGGATTGTTCCTCCCTATCCTAAAATCAAAAGACAATGAAATAAGAATTTCCATCTATCAAAAAGACAAATGGCTTTTAGAGGCTCGTTCCATGAGTAAATGATAATAATAAAACTAGAGGAGTCGAATTCGATCTTTAATCGTAAGAGTGATTAACAAAATCGGACGACCACGAAGCAGGAGCTCGATTTGTTTGAATGATGCGATGTGATTTTATCAATAATGACAAAATTTGAGAGACAATTCAGCCAGCAACTGCACGTTTTTAAAACCAGTTAACTCAGCGAAATGCCCGACAACAGCATGCGCACATGACATGTACTGTCCAATTGCACAGGTATGACGCACAAACTTTCCTATTAATGCTCAAATATGGCTGGTGATAACCTATCTTGTTGGAGAATGTGACAGCGGAAAAAGGAACTTAGACTTCAATTATTTCGATGCAGACATCATCATTTCAAATGTCGACCCCATTTCTTGGTTACTATAAAAAAGACAGCACGTAATATATAAACATATATAAATATATCATAGTAAAACCGTTACATGCTCACCAAAAACCAAGCGAGTACACCTGCTGAATAAACAGTCAATAGCGACACAACAAAGACTGGCCAGATATCAAACACAGAACCAGTCATAATTTCTTCGTAGAAACGAGAAGAACCATTGTCCTGCCTCTTCACAACTAACACCCCAGGCACCTCTAATACAGAAATAAACTTGCTGAATTCACTTCCTCTTGCACCAGTCCTTGTGACTGGAAATTGAAGATTAGATTCTTCATCAGTCTTGTTGGAAAATACCAGCACAGTTTCATTGTGTTCTTGACAGTACCCGCATGATTTTGTTACTGTGTTGGCGATAATGTCTGCTATACTCTTTGAATCATTTCCTCCTTGGTCCAAGGATGACTGGCTTTTGGAGGCAGAGAGATACTTTGGACAGCGACAGGTTTCTGCAGATAAATTCGACTGATAGTTAAAAAAAAAATAAGAATCTGATCATAATCTTACTTTGTTACTTTTACCCTACAGGGTTCATATCTGAACTCTAGATTACTTTACCGACCAGGCCACAGTGGTTTAAAGGGTGGATGACGCTATTCATTGGGTAAATCTATCTTCAGTGTTCAGTGCACTACCTTGTGGTGACACTTATCCGCTGGAGAGCGATATTTTTATTGAATAGTTTTATCCGCTATTTTAACAACTGGGTCCAAGATTTTTTGCCTCGGTGATCAGCAATGGCTGAGCATTTACTTTTTTAAATAATCTTGTTTGAAATATGTGCTTTATGTCTGGTAAAATTCTCCTTACATGGGTGTTCTAAGCCTGCTTCCCTCAAGTAATGCAGCTTTGTCTTACGTTCTCAGGACTCTAACGAACATTGCGTGGTCGAATGAGACCACATGGGTCTTTAGTATATTCATATTCAACCATTTTATCGTAAGTGTGCCTCTCCATTGATAAATTTCTTTTAAGTTCTGGTACAAGTATCCACAGAAAACGTCGTGCTCACCAGCAAATACTGTATTGCTATAGTTTCCACATCCTGCTATAGTACATGCTGAAATTTGAGCCCCATAGGTAGAAAACAATGAGAGGTTAACAAGAATGAACGACGTTTCTGATGAATTACTGATGTCGATCAATTTATTCCATGGATCTGTGGGTGGTTTGTCAGCATTTCTTGTTTGTGTGACGTTTATCTTGTATTTTATTATAATCCCTCGAAATAGCTTTTCTGTTGATAATTGCCACGTGAGCTTGATGGCGTTTGGACTAAAAAACTTCTCAGCCTCGAGTTTAGGAGCTCCACTTGGAACTAAAATAATGAAAATGATCCAGTTAATAAAATACGTTAGTTTGTGTAAGTGTTCAGTGCATTAGTTAGTTTCAAAGGGCTTAATTTGACTTAGTGTAGACTTCTAGTAATCATTTTATTTCCGGAAAAAATGACGAAGAAGCTCACTTCAATTAAAGAAATTCTCTGAGACATAAATTGTACCTAGGAATTAGTGAGACACCTTTTTAATAAAAAATCACTTGAACTGAGAACTTTTTCATGTTAATTCACTTGCAATGTTCGTTTGCGCTATCGTCGGAACCTCTGCTGACAAGCACTAAAGAAAAGTACAAAACCTTAATTCGATAGGGACTAGTGTTGATCGAACTACGTACCTTTCCAGGGCGAATTAATCGACAAACGGAAGCCTAAGTAGTTCATTTTATTCCAAACGAAAGATGGCAAATACTTAGTTTTTTTTTTTAAATCCAAACTCTTCAACGAAAGAGAAGTGTTATTTGCATACCGTCTTCACTTGCGTTTACACAGATGTGGGATGTTTTATTGCCGCTTCCCTTACTGTTGTAAGCTTCAACCCACACACAGTAATTCGCGGACTTTTCGAGTCCCACCAGGTCCTTCATCAGTGCGTTGACAGTGGTTTTTTTAACAGAACTGTCCGTACTTCTTTTCTTTCGCTTTGTGTTCGTCACTTTCTTGTAAAATACTCTGTATCCCAATATAATTCCTCGCCTATTTATCGGGGGTAATGGATCCCATGTGACTCGAATACTTGTAAGGTTTATCCAGCGAGCAGTCAAATTTTGAGGTGAGGCGTTTGGAGCTGAAAAATATTATCCGTACGAGAGAGTTAGGAAGAGAAAACAAAAACTTCTAAGCCCCTTTATCAGGCCTTTATATGCAAAGAAAAATATTAAGGAAGGGAGAAAATTTGCTATTTTTTCCTTGATTCTTTTTCAACACCATTTTTTTCGTCATTATTATTATCATTTCATTGGCCCCGCAGACATATGTAAATGTGAATACAGCAACCTAAGTTTTACGTATCACTCTTTTGTATATTTTACTTTGAGAACCTATCAGATATCGTGTTAATTACGTCAAGGTCACAGGTCTTATTGTTCGCACGATGTATATAGAAAGACAACAAAATTTTTTTTTTATCCGTAACAAATTGAACCTAGCGTACCCCATAATGCCAATGGGGCATGATTGTGGCCTTCGCCCTGTCCCGGAAATCCAGCTGCGACTGTGTGTTAAGGGATAACGGACCGGTCTTCATTGATGGGGGGGGGGGGAGGGGAGTTGGAGGGTTTTTGGGTATCAGAGGGAACGGAGGTGGAATCGGTTGTCGCCAACAGAGCATAAAGCGGGGACTGTAAAAATTGACTGCCAATTAACTGTTAACCCTTTCACTCTCAAGATCTGATTAGTAATTCTCCTTACTATCTGCCATACAATTCTTATGATGTTAGTTCAGAGAATTTGGTATTGGATCAACTAATAATCCCATGATTGATATTCTTCTCTATTCTCATCACTTGCCTGCTTGATATTGTATTGATATTGTAAGGAGAAATTCTGTCTTGGTCACTTGTGGGAGTGAATGGGTTAATGAGGAGAGAATCTTAAGAATATTACAGAGCCTTAGGTGAAGATCAGGTCTACTTTTTTATGAATAAATAATGACCGATCCCTGAGGCAAAAACGCACCTGCTTCATCTGTAGTCACGTACTGACATTGGCTTCTGTTGCTAGCGGTGGTATTTGTGAACGAGGAAAGTTCTAAACAGTAATTCGTAAACGGTTTCAAATTCGTTAAAATTGTTGATAAATTCCACTCAGGGCAGAGAACTATATGGATACTTAGAGACGAGTTGCCTTCCCAGTAGCTTACTCTGTATCCTGAAATATGGTTGCTTGAAGACTGATTGTTTCTCCAGCCAACAAGAATGGATGAGGAGCTTGTGTTGTAGGCAGTTTCAATCGACGGAGGTTCTGACAAATACAGAAAGATTGTTGTTAGTTGTAGCGACAAAACTATAAATTTAATGGGCTCAACGATGGTTAATTTTTAGCCACTCATATTGTTTTCACTGAACACATATGACGGTTCAGAGCCACGTAAAGGAGTCCCCTTAAGTCCAAATATTACAGCAGAGGTCAAAGCGATGAAATAATATGTCTTTCGTGAAAACGTTTCGTTTTAGCTTTCGATTACTGCTTGGACTTCAAACATCACGACGTTGATAATTCCAAGAAATTTGAATCACCCCTGAGCCACGATATGAGAGAAGCCATGACGCTACTTGTTGCGGTCCAGTCCGCAATCCTCCATTTCATGTCCACCCAGCGTCAAATTGAAGTTTATTTTACCTGTACATGTAATTAAATGGTTGTCTAACGCCTGTTAATTACTTGCAAGTTTGATAAGGATTTACATCAAGTTTATTAAACCTTTCCAACATAATTGAAGAAAAAGCTTTGTAGTGTATAACCTAACCGTAAACAGAAGAGCGATTCTTAAGGGATCTCTGACTAATTTGCTACGAAAATTTCGTTTACATAATACTGAAGATTTCGTTGTTATGCATCATTAGGAGAAAATGCATGCTTCTTAAGAAGAACTCACTTACCAAATGATACGTGGGCAGGCTCTGTAGCTTTATTTAAAACAACCTGGCCAAAAAAGAAGGCCAGAATTTTAAAGAACAAAGAACGTTTTTCGTAATGCATCCTCTTGCTTACTAAAGAGATATGAATGACCTTCGCATGGCGAGAACGTGTACGCAATAATTTCTTTGGTAAAGATTATTCTTGAATTATTTTATTGATTTTATTGATTTTATCCCTATATAGCTGTATCACCTGTCGCCAAATTTCGTTCTGGCGAATCAATGCCGGGGTATTGTACAACCTTCAAATTTTTCGTTTTTGATGGTTTGACTGAAAGCTGAAACTTTATCGTTTCGATGACGTTTTTTTTTTCTGAAATGGTACAGAAGATAATGTATGTCCTATATCTCAAAATAGAACCCAAAGTATTTTTTACATGTTGAGTTAATGATTAATGTAAGGGATTTTGTAATTTGTGAATTGTTATGGTTTTAGAAAGGAATATGAATAAATTTTTGTTCCTTCTGAAGTAATTTCTTCCAAAGAATCGACATAACAATAATGCTAACATTTGAACAAGATAAAAACTAAAAAATAGAAAGCAATAAATAAAGGGAACAGAAAATAAAAAATACGGTAAATAAAACGAATTTGACTTTATCTTTCTGACTCCTTGTAGTAGTACCTGATGTATGGCCTGACACGCGATCTTTGTTATTTTGCATGACACGCGATCTTTGTTATTTTGCATGAAAGTTTTTATGATAATGAAGGGAGATATTGCACTTTAATTTTTGGAACAAGTAACATGTTGTGGTCAAGAAAAAGGATTTTGTGCAAACAATCGGATAAACATAGAAAACAGATAAAATCATGAAAGCAGCACATTGAAGATAATCAAGCCGTTTACACATAGTATAATTCTTTGAAGTTTCATTTAATATTGGAGCGTTGTGCCTGAGGTCAGAGCGGAAAAACATATTTTGGAATCTTTGTAGATTCATAAAATATTGGCACAAATAATTTCGCTGCGCATCATGACTGTTACTGTTATTATCATTATCATCTTCTCTATCATTAGTATGTTATTGATTTTCCAGGGGTTACTATTTCCAACAGGAACCATTCTCTGCTTCATTTTAAGAAAAGCTCTTTGATGCAAATGATTAACCATCTTGTTTTTGTTGAACTGAGACTTCAAGTCTGGAATAGCGGTTAAGCACCACTCTTCGGAGAAATTTCTTTATTTCTGTTCGGCAAAGAAAAACAAAAACAGTTATTTCATCAATAATTTAACTTAGTTGTAAGACCTTCTCGAAAGTTCTTATGTAACGAATAGACTTAAAACAAGCAGAAATTAAAAGAGAAAAACAAAGTCAGCATGCTGCCAATTTTTTTCCTTTACTTGCTATTGGTGGATTAAATGTTCCTTCTTTTTTGTGATCATGATGCTTTGCTTTAGTTTTACTGTCACCGTTGTGAGCATTTATGATTTGAGGAATGTTACGTGAGGTGGCCAAAACAATAATTTCTTTTCCGAAATATGTGGCTTCTCATTCCTTTCTTTTTGGTATGTGTATAGTTCTTATATAATGAGAAGTAACATTTTAAATTAAGTTGCTGCCTTTAATTCTCAATATCTGTGTAAAACGGTTTTACTAAAAACACCTGCTTCAGTGTGAAGATTATTTCCCAACCTATTAGATGTTTTCTAAGAGTTGTTCTTCTTCTCTCAGTTTCGAAATGGAATGAACTAGGTCAGCTTGTCAATATTATTTTTTTCAAATTTACTTCATTAGGAAAAGTCGATTTCATGGGATGCTCTGCAAGTTTATTTTCCTTTCATCTATCATCTTTCATCATCCTCGAGTAGGATGAAAAAAACACGCTGAAAATATATATTAATAGAGTAAAATTTTACAACTTCTCGATGTTTCCTAAAGTCTCTTACGTCATAAGTAGACGCTATAGTGATACGTTTTTAGCCCAATCCACATTAGACATCACTGATTTTTCCAGAAAAATTATTTGATTCAGCTGGGAAAAAGTCCGAGAGAGTCTGATCAATTCATGTAAAAATCACATCTAAATCAATAACGAGGGTCTCGACGCGAGACCAACAGATAAACGTAACTATTTTCTAAAGAACACCTCATTCTTTTATCTGTCAATGGAGTAAGTGGGATTTGGTAAAAATCAGTATTCCACAAAGGAACTTAAACAATATCGAGCCATATCTCCGGAGGGCAAAATTTGATTTATCAATAAGAGATGAGGACATTGGAAAAGAAAATTCCTCCGCTCCTCTCCAACTAATGATTTTTCTTGCATTTTAGAATCTCGTGTGTATACTGCGTACGAATGTTGCTCAACATTGCGATTCATCTTGTCTTCCAGGTATGTAAAATAAGATTTTATTGAATCTATGAATTACATTCTCTTTTCCACACCATGACACTTTTGGTATAGAGGGGGGGGGAAAAACCTCACACACCTTGCTAAAAAAGAAAGATATGAAAACAGTGTGAAGATTATTTAGTATGATTAAGTCTTAAGAAAGCCATTTCAAACACAAAATAGACTGAACTTTTTCTCTCTGAGGACTAAAAAACCTTTTCACCATGTAAACAACTGAAGTGTTATACAAGGATTTCCAGCCGCGAGAAAAGCCGTAAAAACACACGTGAAAAAATTAGATAATTTTTTACGTGTGTTTAATATCGCCACTCAGCTGCTGACACGTCACTCGCCTTTCGCGCCATTCGGTCAGGTTGATGAATGAACGGCAAAGCCTTCACTGTTCTCAATCCAAGGTCGTTTGTAGGAATTTTTTCGGATTATGGCTGCTAAAACACCGAAAATCCGTATCACTTACAGACAGTGACGTTTTAAACTTACCTAGAGGGGAGAGAAAACAGAAATGCGAAAAGAAAAATCGAAAGTTACGTACTCAGTGGCTTTGATAATGGCATTTCTCGCGGCAACTGGAAAATTTGCCACAGGCCGATTTTGGCCGTGTACCTGAAAGATTTCTTTTGTCGGTAAGGACCAATTCAATAACTAAGAATTTTATGTATTGATAACTAGGCTCATAGTTTGGTTTTGTAGTGATTCAACACATGTTTTCATCGTGAGTGCGCCAACACACTTTACGATCTTTATTCGGGGATTTTCGATCCCTTTATTTTGATTTATTAATAGAGTCGACTTTTCTTGACAGTAAAAGGGCTATTGTGTTTATATGATAAACAAAATAATACATGGTTGATTGTAGATGGGGAATTTCTCTTCTCGTGTTAAACGCGATATCTCACGAGTGAGTGCGCGATGTATTATTCTTTGTTTACATCACTATGCCGCTAGTTTAAATTCTGTTGACGGCCACTGATTAGCCCCCCCACCGCAAGTTCTGCGCAACATAGCGACAAATTTAACTTTTGTTAATGTATAGGCTCTCCAAAATGTTGATGGTGAAGTTCCTTAACCTATCTTTACTGACATTTCGACAGCTTCCGCAAGTCCACCAGAAAATGTAACAGCGTACAACACAAGTTCGACATCGTTAGAGATCACATGGAGTACTGTTCCAAAGGACCTTGAAAATGGGAGTATACTCGGCTACAGAATTTACCTCAGGAAAATAGATGAAATCGAGACCATCACAGTTAATATGTGTTCAGAGATGTCTAGTTTTTCTTTGAACAATTTGGCAGTATTTACAAACTATTGCATTCAAATGTCTGCGTTTACCATGAGTAGTATTGGAAACAGGAGTGACTGCTTTTTTTGTTCCACTGATGAAGAGGGTTAGTAAGTAAGTTATAGTGGTTATACGTACGTTAGCTACTAGTTACATTATTAAAGATAATATTACAAATAATGGTTTAAGTGTTTTAGTGACTCTTGAATCAATTTCCTGGTCATAAGCAGCATTCCAGGTCTGTATCTACCGATTGTGTATAGAGTTAATTCTGGGATAAAGAAGCAAATGAACAGAATACAAAAGAATGCGATCTACACACCAAGCTAAATGGCGAAGAAAGATGTAATAGGATGACCGAGCGATCAAACGAACGAACAAAAAGAAAAGGGTAAAAATCAACCAGGAAATTAGAGAAACCCGAAAATATTTGCATGAGACTCTGAACAGTCAGGTAGTGAGTAGGAATGCCGTAAGGATCACGTAGATAATATCAGTCATGGATGCTAAACTTATTTTAATTTTTTTTTATTATTTAGCCCCAGGTCATCCTCCGGCCGACCTATCAGTGTTCAACACCAGTTCAACCTCCATCAAAGTTGAATGGAGTCCAGTCCCAGCAGAATTTCGTCGAGGAATTATCCTTGGGTACCGTGTTTTTTTGACCAGGTCCGCACAAAACGGCCGTGGAAGACGAAAACGTGACTTGTCACCGAACGGAAACGTAACCTGCAGCGAGACGACAAACCTTACCACAGAATTTCAAGGTCTTGAAATGTATTCCAATTATTGTGTAGAGGCTGTCGCTTACAATCGGGTTGGAGAAAGTGGAAGGACAAACGTAACATGTACATTAACAGACGAAGCAGGTATTTTAAAATACATTTTTATCCCTTTGAAACACCTCATCGCAGGCCTGGAAGTGAAGCGAATTTGCAATCGTATTAAATTTTGGCAGTTTTCTTTTTAAGTACAAAATGTTAAATGGAGGAAACAAAGGGGGGGAGGGGGCGGGGAGAGGTCCTGAACATATTTCACACACGAATTTTTTAGAAAACTTCACGTGTCGGTTTCTCATTTGGACCTCAATCACGTGTCTCTTACATACCCTTTTCCCCCCTCCACGTGGAGTTATCATATTTGATTGATTGAATGATTAATTTTTAGTCCCCAGTCAAGCGCCCAGAAACCTAATTGGCCACAACACCAGCTCGACAAGTCTGGTTATTGGTTGGAGTTCAATTGAAGCAAAATTTATTCACGGAATACTCTTGGGTTACAAGATATTTTATCGAAGATCAATTGAGCCTGATACTGCTTCTCAAACTTTAAGCGTTAACGCAGAAACATTAAGGAAAGGAATCAATGGATTGCTAAAATATAAGGAGTACTGCACAAAAGTAGCAGGCTTTACCAGAAAAGGAGATGGAAAATTC